TGGGACACGAAATGTTGCAGGAATAGCATTTTTGAGGTATATGTGTATATACTTTACCGACATTTTGTTTGTTTTTTTACTAGCTCAGTGGCTAAAGCATAATAAACTGACATGATGGTTGTCGTAGTGTGAATCTTTATATCAAGAAGGTCACAGGTTTGAATGCCAGGGTGGGCTTCTTGTGTTAGGATTTGTATGTGTACTTTTCTTACAATATAAACCTGTTTTTAGGCTAGCTTTGGAGACTGTGAGCCCACTCGGTCACACTATTCAACACTATTCGTAATAGTGGTACAGTCATTGCCCCATTTCAGCTGAAATGAACTCAAGCTCATCCTGTGACCCTGAGCATGATTATGCAGTAAAAGACTGACAAATGGATTGATGTAAGGCTGCTGGACTTAAGCGCTGACTGGACTTTAAGTCACTCTCTAGAGTGATATACTTCCTAAAGAATTCCCAGATTTTAAGATATAAGTGAAAGTAAAAAGAAAATATTTTGGTTTCTTATTTAGGAGAGCATCAAAGGCGTTATTATGATAATAATTTTACAATTTTCTGTCCAATGTTGAGGCATTTTCCTTAAGATATTATGACGTATTTTACTGCCGTTTAAATTTTGCCAAATTGTGACACTGGTGTTATGCAGGTTAAAGATTGTGTTTCTGTTTTCAGTTTTTTTTAGTTTAATATAATATTTAAATAGTCAGCTGTGGGTAGGTTAGGAAAGAATAAGCATGTTGTCATGTCACACCTCACTAGTAGTTTCTATCCTGTTATTATTTGTTACTGTAGTAAAATGTAAAACGTTATTTCGTAGCCGGCTGGTTGACAATAAAATCCACCGTGTGGAGTATTTTTAGTGCAGCAGGTCAAGGGCAGCAGGTATAGTAAGACTTCATGTAGAGAGGACAGCTCTCATCATGCATGTTCCTGAAACATTTGTAGCAGTGGTGGGATCAGTGTTGCTGCTGCCTAGTATTGTGTTGGTTATTCGTGGTGAGTCACTCTGTTGCTGTTCATCAGTGAAATCTGGTGGAGTAAGTCAGCTAATTCCAAGCTAATAACTGGCCTCTGTGAGTCAATTTGTGGCAAAGGACAAAACAAATGAATCAAAAGACTGTGCTATTTACAAGCTGTTGGTTCATCCTGTGTTTGAGAATAGTGTTCAGGAGTTATTTATATTGACAATATATAATTGTGATGCCACAGTTTTAAAAATATATTTTAAATAGAAAGGGAATTAATCAGATGTCATGTTAATTGACCTGTTTGATGAATGAGTGTGCAGTTAAGCACAGAGCCTCCTGCACGCCGGCTGGTGCTTTGTTCACATTTAAATATAAATAGTTTGAGGTGCACAGATTGCAATTTTTGGGCTGAATTTGTTTTTGTGAATTGCCAATACCGATTTTTTGCTGATTCTTGACGTTTTTTCCACTCTTTTCAATTGACAACATTTACAGATAATAAAAGGTGTTCTGCAGTATATGTAAGTAATTATGAAACATTTCCCACAAACTGCACTCACTCCTCACTTAAAAAACATTTAAAATAAATAATTTTGTAAAAATATAAAATCATATATCTATATATAATATTTATGTCATATAAACATGTAAACTTTGGGCTGTGCTACGACAAACAACATGATTTTATATTAATCAAAACCCTAAACTCAATCAAAGCCTTTTTTAAGTATTCCATAATATATTTTGGTTTGGAGTTTAGAAATCTCTGGTTGGGAAGAGTATTTGATGGGTGAATACAGGTCACAGCTAGCCCAGGGTCTCTGGTGCACAAAGGCAGAAAAGGTGACAGCTGGCCATAGGAGTGTAACAAACCCTAAAGCCACAGTTTACTACATACCTCAGTATGTGAGTGTGTGTGTGTGTTTAGGGGGGGATTACAGGGGTCCACCGGAGTTCGACAGTTTCACAGTTTTAGGGAAGAAGTTGTTCCTTAGTCTGTTGGTCCTGTGTTTGATGCTCCGTAACCGTCTGCCTGAGGGGAGGCGGACAAACAGAGCATTTGCAGGGTGAGTGGGGTCCTTCATGATGCAGGAGGCCCGTTTCCTGTATCTGGTGGTGTAGATGTTCGTGGTGGTGTGAAGGGTGTGTCCCACAGTGCTCTGTGCAGCCTTTATTTTATTGTTTATCTATCTTTTAAGGCTTTGGAGTAATTTGCTGTTGTTTTCAATACTTTTAGTTGCCATTTCTTAACTGTAATTTAAATACTATCAAAGGTTTGAATTAACATGCCACGCATGGCAAGAAACATATGAGTTTTGTGGTCTTTTTACTTAGACTGTGAAAAGTTTTACAAAAAAGTGAGTGTTTTTTTTCTTCCATTGACCTCATGCTTTCAATGCAGGATGGCAGAAAGTTTGTGTCATTGTTTATGTGTCCTGTCTAAAACAGGAAACATAAACAAGGACACAAACAGAGGGGACAGGACTTATCTTGTAGGGTTGAATTTATGGCTACATCATTCTATCAAATGCAACAGGCAATGTGCAGCATCAGTGGAACTGCAGATATTAAATCTCCTTACACTGTATCATATCTCAGTCTTTATTACTCTTGCAGCGATCCTGCTGCCATGGATACACCCCATACTCAACTTCACTACCTCATAAGCTTTATGAGAAAAAAAAATCTCATGATACAGTTTATGCCACTCTGTTTTACATACCCCCTAAATGTTCATGTTGCTCACAGTTATGACTCCCCCTGCTTTTAATCCTTCTCCCAAAATAACTTCCATCACTCAAGCAGTCGGCATGTGAATGTGCTGTTCATGCCTGCCGTCTTCATGTCGGCAGTGTGCTCAGGAATGTTTGGGAAAAAGACCTTTACTGATACAGCAGATCAAAATTTTTATGTGGCTTGGATTGTGATGAAGAATTTTTTTTTCTACTTAAACCATAAAAGAGTTATGGAATTTGGTTCTTTATAAATAACCTCTGAGAACAGGCAGTAGACCTTTGTTGTAACTGTGTCTCAGTAACACAGGGCTTAGTGTAGCTTAGTGTCGTTGTCATAATCCAAATATTATATTTTGTATAATAGCATTTTTTGAATTATATTTTTCTGTGTCACTGTTTCATGTGACCTATATAAGTTAACAATCCTACTTTAAACCCGTATTGGTCATTACCATGAGTATTACGATGTTATACTTCCTTTCCCATGGGCAGTTTTATGTTTGGATTAATCATGAAGAATGTTTACCATGCATTCCAGTACAGCGGAACACTTCTGGGGTGCGGCATCCCCCCATCACAGCATTTGGGGAGGATGGGGGGATATCAGTTTTCAGTTGGATTTGGATGGACTTCAGCCAAATCCATCATATAGATATTTTCTTACACCCCTAGTCGTAACCCACCAGTGTACCAATTTGCTCAGTGCTAGAGCAGAGCACTAACACTCTAGATGTTTGACCACTGATAACCTGCTGTATTCTAAATGCTTTTATTTTTATATCCAAAAAACACAATATACTCTAATATTTGAACAAAACTGCACTTGCCTGTATTGACACTTATAATAATAGATATGATCAAAACATGAAGGAGGCTTTACAGACTTCAGGAATATGATGTGGGATCTGCCTGCGTCCGGGTTACACTGGTTGTTGTTATTGCTGAGCTACAAACATTGAGGCCTGCCTCGTCTTCTGCACCTGCATACACCATGTAACGTGTCCTGCACCACAGGAAGAAAGAAGAGTTTTAGAGCATTTTGACTTCATGGATACAAAGGAACTAGTATCTGTAAAATGTTTCCCTCACTCCTTTCAGTATTTGAAGGTGTTTATTCAAAGATGGGCTCTTCTACATCTTGTACCTTCATGTACTATTAGTACAATCTATTTCTTTTTCTGGTGATTTGACTGTGTTCAATGAGACACTATTAAGCTATTTAAAATGTATGTATTTATTTATTTCAAAACTAAACAAACACACTCAGTAATCATGAACATGTTTATGAAAGTGGTAGAGGTTTTTTTTTATTTTAACAAACTCAGAAGTGCATATGACATAGTAACATTGATCCCTGTGTTTTTGGTTACACAAGCACTTTTTGTGTCTCCCAGGATGTCCAGTCACAGTTGGGTAAAAATAGCTGTGTGAGCACTGGCTGGGAAAGTCAGCAACAGAAAGATAAGAGACCTGGGAGTCAGATCCCATCAGTTTCTGCAGCTGTGTCTGCTTCGTGACCGGACGCTGTGCCGTGACCTATGTTTCCATGACCTCAACCATATGTTAGCTCCCGCAAGGCTTTAGTCACTCTGCACATCATCAGAAACCAAAACAACAACAGTGCCGAGAAATCATTTTAATTGGTATTGCATTGGTTTCAGAATTATGTCTGGGAATGGCTCAGAACCATTAAAGCCTTGCATTTTAAAGCATTAAAAAATCCAAGTACATGTAGAAATGTAAATTGAAGTGTTGTTTTTAAAACGTCAATGTCAAGTCAGTGTACAGTAAGGCTGAGAATGTTAAAAAAAAATGTTAATCAGGATTTCTGTGATCCTTGACAACAGGCTACCACGATGGGTAAAAGGTCGTGCATTACTGCCACAAATTATATCTAAGATGCTCTGTAGATAGGACAAATGTCATCACACTGTCATACAGACCTGGCATCAAAAGCATCTTGTGGTCTTTTCACCCAGAAAAGTTTTGCCCTCATGTTCTGGGTGTCTCTGAGTCTGCGATCACAGCTTATCCCTAAGGGAAACATCTAAGGGTCTGTGTCTGAATGAGGCTTTTTAGTATTCACTGACCACTCGGGGTGTCAACAGCAGTAAAATGCTTACTCTAGAACTTTCAGAGATGTTGTGAGATGAAGCCTGTGGCAGATTCTTTCGAGAACCCTTACCTTTATTTTGTCAGCAATTACCCAGTACTGTGCGTTGTACTGACGGGTGTAGAGTCACTGGAAGGAGCACTTTGGTGGGAAGTGGCCTATTTCAGTTGCTGTGATACTCTTGTATAAACCTTATTCCTCTCCTAAAGGGGCCGGGGCAGGGGGGCTGTGAAGTGTCTTCCTTCTCCTTGAGTGCCAGTTTGTTTGTCTCAAAACAAGCTGTTCCGAATTTCAAATTGGTTTTAATGATTGCACCTCCATACTGAGTGTCTCCCCCATACCACCACCATTTTTGCTTTAATTGTTATTGTTATTAAAGCTAAGGCAATGTGCTGGAGTGACGTGCAATATTACAGTGGAATGATTGTTAACAACCAGCTACACAGGAGTGATCCTTGTATTTGAACTTCACAACCAGCTACACAGGAGTGATCCTTGTATCTGAACTTCACATACGGTACATTGCTTCTGATGCTGTTGTATCATAATGGCACTACGACCCAGTCAAAGGTCTGCGACCTATAGGCCTTGCCCACAATTCAAGGACAGGGCTAAACTGCTTTGGCTGCAGATCACAACTGATGAAACAATATGAGACGGTCTAACCTTGTCATACCTGGGATTTAGGTCACCAGCTGTTGTCACTTCTTTCCATTTTAAAAATCAACAGTAGGTAGGATTCACTTTAAAATAAATCAAATAGCACCAAAAACTAATCCCTTTAGTCAGGTCACAGAAAGTCAGCAACATTCTGGGCTGACAATATTTATTTATTTTGGTTTATTACAAGATCTCTAAAAATTGTTGTTTTAAATAAAGTTAACAAGCAAACGCTGTCCATATCTCAATATTTTTTCTCTTTACAGTCTGTATCCCATCATCAGTTGGAGTGACACTCCGAACCACGGACAAAATTGTGTGGGCAAACGAGTTTGAGCGTAAGAATGGGAAAAAAATAAAATTTGTTGCCAGAAGAATACCTTCTTTTTGTTGTAATTTGTGTTCTTAACTTTTGTGTTTTCTTTGCAGCCATTGAACTGACCTGTGTAATTGAGTCAATCTCTACCAACAACCCCAGGATTGAATGGAAAAAGATAAAAAACGGCGTGCCCAGTTATGTTTACTTTCAAAAAAAGATATCAGGTAATTTACTGTGTGACATTTACTGTACATTTTTGTCTGTGTTCTTTTTTGGGGGGGAAACATTACCAGGAACACAGCTACAGAAATACAGAGAAGCATTTTAGTGCATCTAAAGCTGGATCCAAATTCTTCTTTTTTTCTAACTCTGTGAGGTGGCAGTGATTCTTTTAGGTTGTAAAAGAATGCTTTATTCTTTCTGTGTTAAAGGGGACTTGGAGCACAGAGCTCAGCTCAGAGAGCCTGCCAACATCCTGATCTTCAACACAACCCGCTCTGACACAGCAGAGTACCGTTGTGAGGTGGCTGCCATTGATGATCAAAGGGACTTTGATGAGATTCTCATTAGTCTTGCAGTGAGAGGTACAGTGGGAAGGTGGTGGTTCGTGATAAAAGTCACTTGAGGACTAGTTGAGGCCAACAAAGTAGTTATTGCAAAAACAGCTAAAATGAAAAATATTTTCTGCATGTAAAATATTCAGGTTCAATATTCAGTGTTACATTTAAATATGTAAATTGTTCTCTTTATTTTTTGTTTTAAAGCCTTCAGTTATCCTTATAACTGCATTCATTTTTAAATTGAGTTTTGTAAGCTGATAACAAAAGGATTAAATTAACATGATGTAACATGATGATGTCAGCCTTTGTATTTACAGTTTACTGTTGCTATAGTGCAGAGAACAGATCAAAATATAGTCAGCCTCGCTGGTAATATTCTAGGTGTGCTGTGTTAATGCAGTCAGCTGATCCATTCACACTGACAGACCATACCATTGACTTAGTTTAATAGAGCGTCCACCCTTTATTTTGATAGTTTATATTGTGGGTTTTTGTTGTTTTTCCAATGATGATGAATGTTAAAGTTAAATGTCTGTTATCCAGAAAAGTTGTAACAGAGGATTTGAAGTGCAGAAAGATTTTGGTTTGGGTTCTTGCATTTTTCTTTTCTTCATACATAATATTTCCTGATAGTGTTTCCTGATGAATCTACCTTCATTTATGTACACAGTGAAACCTGTGGCGCCAAGGTGCAGCGTTCCAGGTTCGGTCACAGTGGGAACGTCAACTGAGCTGCGGTGTCTGGAAAATGAGGGTTTTCCTGCCCCTCAGTACCGGTGGTTTCAAAACAACGAGGAGCTTCCTCAGGATCCTAAGACCAGCCTCAAGTTCGCCAACTCTTCATACATCATCAACCCTGACACTGGAGGTCTGGTAAGGAAGACACAAACTTCCCTTTTTTGTTTTTGTTTGGTTTCCTATTTTATGCCATTGGATATAGCTAACGCCTGTGAACACCAAAGTATCCAGCGATCCTCTGAAGAAATAAAACATCATGGTAATTCAAGCATACCGTGCATGTTAGAGTCTACCTTCTGTAGCTTAGCGTATAGGAAATGTTTGGACTTGATCCAGAACTCATCCAACTGGTTTTTGATGCATAAAGGAATCTTGAGTTTTATTTTGGAGCAAGAAACTTCACTTTTTTTTAACCTGTGGCATTTGGTGTGTTTCAAAACTGTAAACTATGAAATGTCCAACACACAATTTATGTGTCAGCAGTGTCAAAGGGCTTTGGCCTCATTCCCAGCAACAATCTGACAAAGTGTCTAACTCCCATAAAGTAAGGTGTCCAGGGTTGATTTGTTTTCCTAACCATGTCCTTGTCTGCTGAGTCTTAGTAATAAAAAATCGATACAGTGCTGTAGAGTATTGATACAGTATCCTGAATCGAAATATCACAATTGTCTGCTAGTTTGCAAAGGGGATCCCAGGCCAGAACCTAATGCATTTTGGGGGGTTTTGGCATGGAAAAGTTTGGGATCCCCTGCTCTGGAATGTTTGCCAAAGAAGGGGCATGTGCCTGGTTTGAGCTGCTACAAGCAGGCATTTCTATGAATTATTTAATTTTTTTTTTCAATTCTCATTGGTTGGTTTTGAACAAAAGGCAGAGACTTTCTTTCTATATTTGACCTAAAGCTATTTATTGCTTATGTTGATACTAAAAATTGTTGTATAAATCAAATAATTGTGTATATCTGGCAATATTGTAGAAAAAAGAAAAAACTTACTGGGGTCGGTGCCTGCTTTTACATGTAAAATTACACCTCTGTATCCTAACATTTACCTGACGTGTGTGCACTCACAAGGATCAGGTGCCTCTGTCTTTCTGACACCTAACAAATTAACAAACATAGCCACTGTTTTTGTGTTTCTTTTAGACACAGAACTACACATAAGTCTGAAATCTAACAGCCTCTGATTATCCTCAGTCGAAACACTGATTCTACTGTCATTAATAATTGTCTGTAATTTTAGCAGCACTGTTCCCTGAAGAGTGTGCAGCAAATTAATGCAATGAAAACACTGTGATATCAGGTGTGCTTTATCAGAGAGGAATTACAAGTAGTATTAAACACTGCAGCAGATGATACCCAAAGCTGATGAGGTTTTTAAATTATTCTCTAAGGTATAATTTCATATTGACTCGGTATGAGAACTGGAGAGAGCTGCCCACAGTCCTCAGTGGTACAGGAGTCTAATGGAAAGACTGATTAGGTAGAAATAGTGATCCACGTCGATACATTTCATTATCTTTTTTTTTTAAATCACTGGTTTTTGGCTTGTGATCCCATTTTGACAGCACAAAACCCCAGAGTAGCATCTGAACTCAAGTAGCTGTCACTTGTGCAGTCTCATGATCGCAGTGTCAATCAAGATGTGCCAGCTTAGATATACTGTATATATTTGTATACTGCATTTATATTTGTTCTTGAATGTGAAAAAAAGTTTTTTGTATGTGTTTATTTTATCATAAGCCTAAAGCTTATTATTTTTGGATTAGAAGAATGGTATTCCACTGGGTTGGCAGAGTAACTTTCAAGTTGCTGCTATTATGCATTGCCACCCACTCAGCCCCTCTCGGAATTAGGAATCTTTCCCCACAGTAATTCCTGAAGAACAGATTAACTCAAAGAAACCATCCGTCCATTTCACACCATTCAGTCCTTTTCAGTGTGGCAGGGGAGCTGGAGCCAATCCCAGCAGCCAACAGGCTGCGGAGGGGTACACTCTGGGTAGTTCCAGACCTTTGCAGGGCCAAATATAGAGACAAACACCCATCGATCATCTTTGCGGAAGAACTGAACTTTTTGTGGATAACATTCCATTTATCCAGCCTTGTCCCATATTCTACCCCAACTACTGGAACTCTAGCTTTTCCAGGCTCCACTGTAAACATGGATACACAATATACATGTCAGGTGTATTTTGTTTTGTTTGGACTGAAATGTAAAGTATTCATGCTTAATGTTTGTCCTTTTTTGCTACACCGACTAAGTAACTTGTCTTGTAGCAATTGGGTTTCGAATGTTCTTGACTATGCAATATATTGTGAGAATAGAAATAGTGTGGATGGAACCAAAGTCCTGATGGGGTCGGTGTAAACTGTCTGTGATAGCACACCTTTCTACACTAATATTTACTTGTCACAATTAATGCAAACACCTGGCTCTGGTGTTAGTCCCCGGTGCCAAATATGGCAGCCTGTGTACAGTAGAACTCATAAAGAGCAAGGTGTTACTGTTTGGCCAGCATCGAGTGACATTAACCTACAGCAGCCACTGTGTTTGTCTCTGTGAGACACACACACACACAAATACACAGACTGGCCTGAAATCTAACACGTGCTGCCAACGATTATTCTCAGTGTAAACACTGATCCTCCAGTCATTAATGATTGTAATTTTAGCAGCATTGTTCAGTGAAGTGTGGGCAACAAATTAATGTATGGAAACACTGTGGTGTCAGGTGTATTTTATCAGAGAGGAATTATGATATCTGATGCTGATGTTTTTAATTATTCCATGCCAGTGATACACAATAGTAGTCTAATTAAAGCCTGGAGGTGGAGTACAATATTGAGGCGATGTAGAATCATGTGGTCGACCAAACAAGCAGTACTACATTTAGCACTACTTGCCTGGGGAACACAGTGAACAAGCTTAGCAGGAGATTTCAACATGGCCTGCAGCAAATAAACTCAGGCCTCAAAAAGACAAAGGTGATAACAGCACTGGGCTAAAACAACATTAGCTGCAGCATCCTACAATATGGTACAGAAAAGAGGAAAAGCAAGTTCCAGTGCCTGCTAACAACTGTTAGACAGGAGAAAAGTTCTGCAGCTGTGGTCTTTATACCAAAGAAGTCCTCAGTTAGAGATCTGAAAGGCCTTAGTTCTGTGACTCTCTCTGTAGCATGTGAGCAGGGTGGTTGACACTGCATTAATGTATGTTATATTGAATTTCAACAACCTGCAACCTAACTCTCTGGAAGAAATCATCTTTCCTAATACTGTTGAATTAACTGTCATTAACTGTCATTCTGTCAGTCATCCTCTATGCTGATGACACATGGACACTTACAACAGCAACGGAGGAGAGAATACAGAGGATGGAGATAAGCTGCTCCACCCAAAGCTTCATAAATGAGGCAAAAGATCAATCAAGCCATTAGTCTCCATGACAACCTGCTCAGTATAGTAGAGAAGTGTAAGCTTACTGACACGCCACCAGGACTTCAGGCCCTGAGAAGGTACCAGATGGCAGGAGACGAGACAAAATGGGAGAATAACGTTTCAGTAAATGAGCGTTTTAAGGGTGTTTTGTAAAAATGCTCGTATCGTGACAGGACAAATCTTATGATAACAGTTCTAAAGTAGAGTTGACATTTTCATCCTCACTTTCATAAATAAGCTTGTTTTTTTTATGTTATGACCTGGAAAAACATTTGTCCTGCAGCCTAACCTTAACTACTCAGCCCTGCTGTGTTCCTTATATTTAAATGATCTATATTTAGGGACCATTTTGAGTGTTGCTTCAGCAAGTGTTTGGTCTGGCTAGAGGGAAATCCTTTTACGTTCAGAAAAACACTTAACAATCTTGACTGAAGCACTGGCCTGGAGCTGTCTAATAATTCAGCAGCTCTGTGGCAGCAGCAGATATTGTCTTGTCCATAACTGAAAACCTCTCCAGCTTCGATGCCAAACTTTATCTGTTTGTCTTAGATAAAGGTTTTCAGGCATTTCTGAACCTGGTTGTGATGGAGTACCACCCGAAACAGGTGGCTCCACTCAAGATAGAGAATTAGGCCTTTAAAGACTTTCAAAGGTTAAAATGGAAAAGTTTGCTGTTGCAACAACACAAATACATTAAAAACATATACTGGATAATGGATCTCCAGGACATGGTCTGGATCATCACGTTAACATGGGTCAATGCTGTGGAGGTCTTGTTACCCTAACCTGTTCACCAGTTTAACTCTCCCTGTTGTGACCTTGTCATCAGTGGTTCAGTGATGAGTGGCAAAACTGACACAGGAGCTGGAATTTAAAATGTAAATCAAATGTTTAGATGCTAATGCTTGTGCTACTTTTGCAACAAGAATTAAAGGACTTCAGAAAATGTATACCTAATAGAAAAGAATGCACGACCAACTTCAAAAAATATTTCTGTACAGCTGGAAAATAAAGCTCTGAATTGAAACCTAAAATCTTTAATGTCCCCTCAGAAATTCCGAAGGGTGAGAAAGGCTGATGCTGGAGAATATTACTGCCAGGCCAGAAATGATGCAGGCCATGCACAGTGTCCACCGCAGAAGATGGAAGTCCGTGAGTGACACTTTCTTTTACCTTCTAGTTTTATTGGAATTTTTCATTTTTTTATCGTTTTACTGGTAATTGTATTTTTATTAGAGATGTACCGATTGTTGATTTCAGATTTCTTTTTAAGTGTAAGTTGGTGGTGATAGTCACCGGACAGTCTTGGTTTCTTTGAGGACGTTTCACCTCTGGTCGATGGACCTTGCTTTCAATGACATTACTGTTGTTGAACACATGACAAATACTGTCCATTTAACAAATGTAATATACCTTTTTTGTAACTTATTAGTCATAACAAATTACATTGCTTCATTTTACAACATATAACCAATATGTAATCAATACTCAATTGATACTTGAGTGAGTTTCAATATATCAATACCACAGAATCAATACTCACATCACTACTGAGGACCTAGATAAACCACTTACAGACAACCATTTTTGACTATTGCGATTAACTCCACCAACGAAGGAGTGTAACATTTGTCCCTGTTCCCCAACACAGGAAGCTTGGCCAACATGATTGGCTGCAGTCAGGGCTGATCATGCCAAAAACCTGAGGGTTCCAATCACTCGATGCATCTCTCATTTTTAATCGTCCTTTACTAGACTCAGTTGTGATATCAGATGTGTTGATGGTGAGTCCGTCAGCTGTGTTCTGTTTCAGATGATGTCGACATACTTGGGATTTTCCTCAAGTGTTTTGCTGCAGTTATTGTCTTCTTCTGCTTGGTTGCTTTTGTCTGTCATTACCTGAGGCGAGGATGTTTTCACAAAAAAGGAAGCAATGAAAATAAGTGAGTATGAAATGCAGTCTTAGAAGATGTAACTGTCTGCAAAATGGCATTTATTGGTTTTCATTTTACAACCTTTCTCTTTCGTTAATTGTAGCTATAAATGGCCAGCACAGCGAGATGGTGTCGACTATGGTGATGCAGATGAGGTGAATAACTCTCTATTTGTATTTGTTCTAGGAGGGGAGTGCACAGAATATAAGTTATGTGGAAGTCAAGTGTTCACTTCACATGACAATGAATATCTAAATACATCACAAAAGGAAATAAGAAAAGTTTTTATTTGCTATTAACATTGTTCAACTATTAGGGCTGGGCGACACATTAATAAGACAGAGTTATAGATTTTTTATAAACAATATAGAACAAGACATTATAGTTTATATCAATATAGTTAGAATTACATTCATAGAACTGCAGATTTTCCAGCAGTTTCTCTCAGTCCAACTTCCTGCTGTGCTTCCCTCCTTCACCTACACCCTACCCCTCAGTACACAAGCCCAGATAAAGAAGAAGAGGGAGCCATGGTTACTGAAAGGAAAACTTTGGGCTCAGTCAGTTGGAGGTGGTTCGTATTTAAAGTGTCAGTTGTGCTGCAAAACTGTGTGTTTTGCCAAGAATGCTGAATGTTACTTTAAACCAGTGGTTCCCAGCCTTTTTTTGGCTTGTGAACCCATTTTGACATCACACATTTCTGGCAATCCCAGAGTTTAGTTTTTAGACATTTCATGTTATTTTGTGTGTGGTGTTTTAGCATCATTAAAAAAAGAATAATAATTAGTTGAAATATATATATATACTGTATATTCTATTAATTACTAGACTGTAGATGACTAGATTACTTGCAGCTGTACCATTAAATGGAAAAACTAATGTGAAGATGAATCTCACTGTCTGGCTAACCACTTCACACTGACCCATGGAATGTGGTCCAGCAGGACCGGTGAGCCGTACAAGAGTGTGACCATCCACACTATGGAAAAAGCACCAGTCTCCAAACCAGTTACTTTATACTAGACCACATCTGGGAGAATAGTTGTACTGCTATAACTAGTAACAAGACCACTCATATTTAATATTTATACTTATATTTAACCTGGGCCCCTTCATGACTGTGTTCACTAAGGTAAATGAGACACTATTTAAATTCAAAGGTCACATGTGAACTAATTCTATGTGTCTTGTTTTTTTTTTGCAGGGTCATTTTCGGCACAAGAGTTCCTTTATTATTTGACCACAGAGATGGAGGATTTGGAAAAAGACACAAAAACTCATACCAGTAAACTGTTACGGTTAAAATGCAACAATGATGCCCCACCTGGTAAAAAAAACAAAAAACAGCATGGCACATTCAGTCTCAAATGGCACATCTAATAAAAAAGTCAACCAAAGTCATTTAATCAGTATTTGATACCTTGTCATCATGTGTCATCTTTTTGTACAATTTATAATTGTTTTAATATCAATTTCCTGGTTTTAATATGGTTGCCACCATTAACTCTTAGTTAGTTTTGTTGTTTGTTTGTCTCCCAGCAAATGTTTCTGTTACAAATTTATATACTGACTTTTGAAAGCTGTGATACCTAATCTCCAGCGTTGGTGCAAAAGATGCTGGAAACTATATATGTTCGTCCATATTTTTTTGGACAAATTTTTTTTTTTTTTTAATGACGGCAGATTTTTTTTTTTTTTTACATTGTTCATGAAGTTTGTTGCACGTGAGAAAGAACCTTGTTCTTGAATATGTATGATTGTATACAGACAATTAATAACAGACTGTTTAGCTCCAATTCATATGGCACAATTTATTAGGAGCATTTATTATATTCATAAACAGTAACAAGTATGTAGAATTACAAAATACCACTAAATTTAAATATATATTTATCAGACTATGCTGAAAAATCATTCTGAACAAGTATAAAGGGGTGAAGTTTAATAGTGCTGTTTGTTTGTGTAGAAGTGACCTTCTGTACTCTACTCATTATTTTGTGAGTATTGGACCTATTTTCCGGTTTTAACTCAGTATTAATGTACATAAAATTACTTTTTTAATATTTTAATTTCCATACATTGCACTCCCATCTTTTATTGTATATATGGTGTTAGAACTGTCTTAAATAATTGTACAGTATCCACTGCTTGATGCGTTTGCAGTGTCATAAACCGTTTATCCTTATGAATTTCAAAACATGTTTGTGTTGATTATTTATGTGAAAACTCAGGAACTGTTACAGAAGTGTCCATTGTTTGTTTGATATTACATGTTCATATTATTTGTCTTTAATAAAAAAAAAACAGTTGACCTTTTTTCTTCATGGGAACTATTAATACAGAGTGAGGTATAACACAAATGTAAGGCTTCAAAGAAGGCCTGACAAATATTTTCAAGCACAAGCATTATGTGAATAGCAATAAAATACAATTGTAGAAGCTATGGGAAGAAATGTTTAATTACAAAAAAAAAAAAAAAAACTTGTGGCAAAAAGTTGTTGAGTCAAGGAGATTTTACCAGTCAGATCAGGAACCGAATGTGAAAAGAGAATAGCCAAGAAGCCGTGAAAACAGCAAGACCACATCTATGGCATGTGTTTGCAACGCTGTCAGACATAGGTCAGAATGACACTGGCGTTCCCTACTGGTCGAAAGGGAAATTGCAGCCTCACTTGCTTGCTACTCTACCAACCCCAGAACATTTCTTTGTGTGTGCATACACAAACATAGACACACAAATATATAAATACATATGGACATATCTAATATTTTGCAAATATGTAAGTGAAATAACTTTGATGGTAGAACTAACTACTTCCGGCTTGGGGAAGCGCGATTTCTCTGGTTTAGTTTGAAAGCACCCACCCGGAAGTAGTTTTATCAGCAGAGAGCGCACTTCCTGATTGTTTGACAACATTGCGATTTTTTCTTATTGTGGGTATAGAGGGAAGTTACTTAACATGTCGTGTTTTTTGACACTTTGAGTTTTAAAAAGGATGTCTCTGCCAGTGACGTCGAGTTAAGGAAACCAAGAAAAACGTTAATTTGCTAATGGAGGTTACGAGCGCTTCTGCGAATTAGCTATATCGCTGAACTTGAGTTCGGAAATGTAGGGACCATTAAGTGTTTTATCATCAGGATTTTTTATTATTCAGTGACGCCTTTTCGTGTATTCTGTTAATAAGTCATCTACATGTTTGGGCCTTTGCATGATAGCTGTATGTTCTGTCTGATCTCGAATTTAAATCGTTAGAAGGCTTCGTTAGCAGTGTGCTATTTAGCCACAAGCAGAAAAACAGAAGAAAACGATAAGCCACGTGACGTCACGATGAGTTTCTTTAGTTTTGGGCAGAGCGCAGAAATTGATGTGGTGCTGAACGATGCCGAGACAAGGAAAAAAGCCGAACATAAGACCGAAGATGGGAAGAAAGACAAGTACTTCCTTTTTTACGACGGAGAAACTGTCAGTGGGAAAGTAAACGTGACACTCAAGAATCCCGGCAAGAGGCTGGAGCACCAGGGCATCAAGATCGAATTTGTTGGACAGATAGGTATGAAAAGCAACCTGGTAAAACAATGATATAACTTTCTCAGCGAATACTAAGTTTATACCATAGATGAGACGTAAGAAAAGGACGTACGCATGCGGTCCACATCATGTTGACCACCTCCAAAACAGACGTTTTACTGCCTTAAACCAAATATGGGTTTCATGGATGACCATAATGTCAAGGTCAGACATGGCAACAGTTGACTAAACTGATAAGATATGCAAAAATGTAAAGCAATTTAAATATGACAATGTCACAGCTACTCAGTTGTTATGTCAATCCCTTGTTAATATTTCTATATGAATTATATTAAGAATGGATGTCATGCGATACAAGGTTAAATCTTTTTCTACTTGAGTCAGTAACATCCTCTTCTTTTGTTCTTAGAGCTCTATTACGACAAAGGAAACCACCATGAGTTTGTTTCTCTGGTGAAAGATCTTGCACGACCTGGTGAAATGACTCAGTCACAAACCTTCGACTTTGAGTTCACTCATGTTGAAAAACCGTACGAGTCTTACACAGGTCAAAATGTCAAGTTAAGGTAAGATTGATTATTTACTCTTTTTTTTTTACAGGCCGAGAAACGAAGTCATTCTTTAACGTGACATTGGGACAACCATAAACTAACTCATTCACATTTGATTTGTGTTTTTAGAGTAAAATATTGTATTGCAACACTGCTGTCATCAGTCTATGTTTATGTGTTTTGCAGATATTTTCTTCGTGCCACAGTGATCAGAAGGTTAAATGACATCACTAAAGAGTTGGACATAGTTGTTCATACGTTGAGTACTTACCCTGAACTTAACTCATCCATTAAAATGGAGGTCGGAATAGAGGATTGTCTCCACATTGAGTTCGAGTACAACAAATCCAAGTAAGTGTTATTGTAATTTATGTGTTATCATAATAATAACTATTTTTTTATTATTTCGAATATATACTGAAGTACCAACACGGCAAAATAATGTTAATACATTGTGTAGGGCTCAATATTGTCTTTTTTTCTTCCAATTAATCACAAAATTACAGGTGAACTCTTAATATGCATTAAAACCTGTTCCTTACAGGAACCATAAGTTATAATTTATAATAAATTATATAAGAGGACCCCCAACTTGAACTTTATATAAAACAACCTTCTTAGGTTAATAGCTAACCACAGATAATTTATATTATTTGTATATTTCTTTAAGTGGAACTTACATTGTATTTAGAGCCTCTAGAAAGAATAATGACAATAAATGTGATTCTTCTTCAAAATAAAATTAGGATAGGACCTAATGTATGTACGATATATATTTTATTCTGACATTTTTGTCCTCCATTTTTGTAGAAACCTTTTCTGATATCACAAATACTGCTCTAGAAATTTAATGTTATTTTAAACCTCTTTGTATTTAATCTTTATAATTTCTTTGTTTTTTTTAAATTGTTTTACAGATACCATCTGAAAGATGTAATAGTTGGAAAAATATATTTCCTCCTGGTGAGGATTAAGATTAAACACATGGAGATTGACATAATCAAACGGGAGACAACAGGCACTGGGCCAAGTGTCTACCATGAAAACGACACAATCGCCAAGTACGAGATCATGGATGGTGCTCCGGTCAGAGGTAACAACCCTCGTTCACAATAATGTCTTTACATCAAATAACATTGCAATGTTTATTTTTCTTAAAATTGTTTTCTAATTTTCATATAACAAAGACTAGACATATGTTCTTACAAACAGTGTGGATTACCATTTTAAAGGCCATCTCATTGAAGGGCCAAAACTTACAGTTGGGTCATACACACAATATACTGACATCTAGTTGTGGGCTGCATGTGAGTGGTTTGTGGGACACTTCCAGCTCGTGGGCCACGAGTTTGAGACACCTGTTCTTACGTTTCATATAGTGTATTATACAGTTCCTTACATAAATACAAAGCTTACTTTACATCACATTTTCAGGAGAATCCATTCCCATCCGCTTGTTTCTGGCTGGCTATGATTTGACTCCCACAATGAGAGACATCAACAAGAAATTCTCAGTGCGATATTACTTAAACCTGGTGCTAATTGATGAGGAGGAAAGACGCTACTTCAAACAGCAGGTAAGACATCAAGATGGTGTTTTGAGATTCAAATACAATGTTCTGCCCACAGTAACGATTGCGATAATCAATATATACTATACTGGTATACTGGTTTATGAAGTAGATAAAATGTATTGGCCCAATATTTGGTTTATCATAATGTTATCTGGGGGATATTTTTATTTGAAATATTCTTGTTTTGCATTTACATGTGCATTTTTTTGTAAAAAACATATATAGCTTTGCATCTTTTGTTGCTTACTTACTTACGTGTATATATATATATTTATATATATATATATATATATGTATGATATTGACCAATGTCTTCATTTTTACCTCCTGTAGGAAATCACACTGTGGAGGAAAGGTGACGTGGTGAGAAAGAGCATGTCTCACCAGGCTGCCATCGCTTCACAGCGGTTTGAAGGATCTGCTGCCTCCGAGAGCGCACTGGAAAAAGCTGCAAAGGAGGAGAGCGGTTAGAGTTGCCACCACTGCCTTCGGAGTCACAGTCTGAGACTGATTGAATCTGCATTAGAGCGATGAAGGTACACATAAACAACAACAAGTAAGCAAGCAGCCGGTAAAAGAGGGATAAGAAGGGAGAACAACAAGGTGTTTTTGACAAATAAACCCATTAGCATTAGCCACTCACTGGCTACTGCTGGTCTTGATCATAGACCATGTAGTGACATTGACAAACACATCTGGTTCCAGTCTTTGGATGCAGAGTGAAAACTGAAATGCTTTTCTGTTTGAGCCTCTGTCACTACTTCTCCGTCCTCTGTAGACGATGAGGGCCCTTACTTTATGGCATGTAGACAGAAAGAGTGGAGAAAAAAAAAGAGATTGGAGGCTTAAAAATGATCACTGTTATCTCAATGTTGGGAAGACCACCACTGTTGGGAAACATCAAACCACTGGTTCTAGGCACCATCAACAGTGCAGTCACATGTAGTAGTAGATGGGGTTGTATTTATCCCCACCACGAACTCCTCCAACCTCTGCTTTTGTTCTTCCTTTTTCTCCACATGCAAATATAATTCGACATCATAGGTCAGGAAAGACGGGGAACAGGGAATGCTAAGATCAGTGTTATTAAAGACAGAGAATTGACACAGACTTATATATAGAACCTAATCACTTCATCAAACAGTGGAAGACTTTCAGTTGTTCAGTGACTTCTGCTGCTTCATAGCCTTGTCTGGTTTTAAACATAAGCATATGGTCAATGTTATGTTGTATATTTTTTAGTTACAAAAGCTACAGCCGTGTCTCTAATCTTTAATTCCCTTAACCTAATTAATAACCTAAAAAAAAATCTATTTCTTGTTTTCTTACATTCCATGTTAATTCGCACAATTCCTCACTGTCGTAAAGTAAAGAAGTCTGAGGTCACTTTGCACTGCTTAATCAATTAGCACATTCGTCTTTAGTTAGTTTGTTTGTATGAAAAACTGGAATCATTGTATTGTTACAAGTATTAGCTCACACTTTGTATATAAGTAAGACCAGATGACTCTCCTTATGCTATTCCACCTTGAGTACATGAAATATTCAGTTCCACATAAAGTCTGTTCATTTTCATTCACTTTACCACAGTCTTTCAGTGGTGAGACCACATCTAATGTTCACTTATGCAAGGGGAACAATTTGTCGTGTGTGTAAACTTAGACCAGTTGTATATTCCGTTACACATGGGCTTAAAAGCAATGGACGTAACCATGTAGTTGCAAAAGTGATTTCCCTGGTTGTGGAATCATTTCAGTGGTGAATCTTTATGAGTAAATGAGGCTCCTTCCCACTGTGTGTTACTGTAGAATGAACAAAACTAAAATAAGACGAGTAACATGGATTTTCTTCTCTAGTTTCAGATCACCCACAGAACATTTCAGTCTAAGGCATTGATTAATTCTTTACGTTAATGAACAGCTCACCCGTCCTTGATATTACCTTATAGACTGATCACAGGGAAACTTTTCGAAACATTTATTAGCACCTAGACTGTCCATGAAACTAAATTGAGTTCCATATAGGGATGGCTCGATGCAACTTTTTATCGGACCAATACCGATCCTGAGTATCGGATCGAGCCATCCTTACTGGTGTATCTACATTAGGCATTAGAATAGAATATTGTTTTGCAACTGGATGGCTATGGTTCGCTACAGACTGGACTGGAACGTCAACAAGAAGTGACTTGTTTCACACATGATTGGTTATCAACATTAACATCACACTTCTCAGACACCTTGTTGGAAATTTGGTTCTCTATACAGACTTGAAATGTGCCTACGTGTATCAAGCAAATGAAAGCTTCCTGACCCTAACACACTGTAATGTAAGTCTTTAACCCAAAGTTGCAATAAAGCTGTCTATAATTACTTTCTGTTCCTAAGGTCAAATAAATTGATGCCAAATTAAATAAAAACATTCAGTGCAACTTTTATTTGAAACTTTCGTTTGAAACGTTTTGAAACCTAATTTTAACTTTATTAACCATTGTGTTAAAATATTACAATTCTAACGGCTTTATTTTGGGCAATGTTCAGTGTTGGCTTTGTGCTAACAGAAAAATTATAGGTTAATTTTGAGAAAGATGTTTTGAAATTAATTGTTGGTGTAATTCTTTTCATATTTAATTCCATTTTTATTTCAAACAGTCGTTAGGTGTCTTCAAGTTCTCCCAGTGAGTCTAGTTTTTTTCCCCAGGTACTCTAGTTCCAAAGGACCAGATGAAGATACTTTGCCTTCAAAGTAAAAAAACTGAGTTGACCGAGTTACACACATGTGCTTTATTTTCTAACATCTAAGATAAAATTAACCAGATTAGTCTTCACATCAAGATTTTCACAGCGGCTCCTCGTCCTCCAGACTCAGGATAAAATCAAACTCATCTGCAGGAACAAAAAACAAAAAAAAGGTTAGGGTGCGACTTTATGACTGAATTTATTTAGAAAGGCTTTTTCCATACAGTACCAGTAGTGAGAGGTTGCACCGACAGCCGAGCTCTTGTGAAAAGTGCCATGTTCTTCAGGGGGCCTCCACTGGAACGATGTTGTAGGTGGTACTTTTTCAGCTCAGTCAGTGGAAGAAAACGCTTCAACATTCTTAAGTACTGAACGTCCACCTGGCACATAAGTAAAGTTCTGAGTGACTAAAGAGTCATGTGATGTGGACTTTATTAGCATTCAGCTAAATGAATGAATCACATACTGTATGTACTTTTGCCATAGTAAAAAAACAACAGAACTTATACAAGGATAAATTATGTATATACATATATCCATGGTGACTTTACCATGGACCACTTGGGGTTGTCTGTTTTGCTGGTCCCGTCATAATGAACATCTTTTTTGTCAAACTGAGTGTGGTCGACATAAGCTTCTTTCACAATCTAAAAGAGGACATAAGGTGAGATATCATCCATGGGTTCAGACAGAAAAATAAAATAAAGCTGCAGGTAAAAAGCTCACTTTCATGAGGCCTGCGATCCCTGGTTCCTTGCAGTTACTGTGGTAAAAGAAAGCTTGCTGACCTTCTTTCATCTGCCTCATGAAGTTACGTGCCTGCAGGTGGCAGAACTACATTTATTCTTTTCCTGACCAACGATGCAGTTCTGTGTTCAGCTCTTACTTCTGTGATTTTCAGGTTTTACCTGATAGTTGCGGACTCCGTCCCAGCAGCTGGTCTGATCAGGCATCTTCTTTAGATCCTCGATTCCAAACTGCAGAATTGAACCAGGAGTAACCAGATTTAAAAATCATCACTGGCCACTCAAACGATTGTTTAATTCAAAACATTAGGTGTAAATACTTGTCTGTAATCTTATAAATGGCCTTTAGGGGGCAACAATAGCAAGTAGTACTTTTTTTATTCAATCCATGTCTGAATTCATTTTTTGCAGCCAATCGTAGTAATCCAATGAGAGGTAATGAGAAGGATTAGGTATGTGGTCCCACTGGGGCTCGAACCCCAGACATTCTGTGAGTAAGGCAGGCGTGATAAAGGTCATCTATAGAACCACATATTGTACATTAAAGGATGTCACTGGTAATGTGTGTGTGTGCTAACTGCTCCTGAGTGTAACTCCACTGTCACAGGCCACCAAAACAAACCAACACCAGCCTGCTGCCATCTGTGCTGTACCTTCACATCGATCCCATTCTCGAAGCGACTTTCAGGCTCAGACTTCATCAACCAGTGGCAGGGAGGAAGAGGAGCAGCCACAGTTTCTCCAGTCTCAACAGTAGGTGCAGCTTTTCTCTTACTTTTAGATGGCGCTGTTTCACTACTGTCACCTGTTGGATTTATTTTTATAATCATTTTTTCATGGTACATTTTGTTAAAAATAATAACATTATATTTTATCATCTTTAAAGACAGTCAAATAATTTAATGTGGTGGTTTGTTCATTGAAGGGAGAACAAATCTGATCTATGTGTCACTATCAAACTGTTGTGGATGTGATTCTCTTTGTAAATTAAATAAATATCATTAAAATATATAACATTTTGTCCATATTTTTGGCCAGTACAAGCAAAAACCATTCTCAATTCAACCATGTCATTGTACCGCACTTTATATGAAACCGTTACGACTGAATTTACATACCTGACTTTGCTGTTCTTTTCATCACTCTGGCCCTTTTCTTTGGCGGCATCTTTCAAAAATTAAATATAAAAACATGGGTTATATTTGTAGCATCATGATAATATTCAGATTCTATAGTCAACAAAATCATTACAGGTCTTCAAAAAGACTTTACTTGACTTGTCCTTTCACATACCGGATGTAAAATTTAGATGTAAAACTAAAAAAATTGAGATACAAATATCCTCAGACAACACTGTTTAACGAATCAATCCGTGGTAACACAACCATGAGCATAAATAAACTTTTAGTAAATTCAGTTGGTAAAATAAAGTTGTTTAAGAATGGTTTTATTACCTTCGTTGAACCAGAACTGAAGAAAACAGTCAGCCACTAAAACCCGCCTTACGGTTTAGACATTTCAACACGTGACCTGCTAAAGGTAGTTTGATTAATCCACAAGCTACTCCCGTCGGTAATGATGGGTTGGCGCGGGCGGTAAAGCCATAATTGCGCACGCGCGCACACGCAATGGACACGAGCTTTGTGACGTTTTTATGTAAATAGGTTTATATTTAGAAAAATATCACATTTTTAATCAAAATTAAATGGGAAACTTTACAAATAGTAATACACTACATTAGGTAGAGCTCCATCTACTTTTACCCCATTACCCAAATTAAAATGTAAATTAAAAAAATGTTTTTTAAAATAAATTATTACTTTCATAAATAACTATTTGTTTAAATTTGCAGGTGAGTTATCTTTACAAAGATGTATCTCCTACATCAGGCAGGTTTACAGCAAGGGCGCTACGCTCCCGCAGCTGGTCTGTTTGATGATGCCTTGTCAGCACAAAAACAGAAACATCTCCATAATACCAGTAACCTGCGTCAGACTGCAGGTAGCTGCGCAGACTCATATTGAAAATCTACTCAGCCTTATTGTCCTCACTACTATGGATATTTGAGCTGAACTGTAAAAAGACAAATAGTCACAGAACAATGGCAAGTTTATAATTTTTAATATACTCTTGTTTCACTTCATAGATTTGAAGGTCTAAATGGTTAAATGGAGATTGAGGTGTACTAGAGTAAAGAGGTTTTTTTAATATGCTGATTTCTCTGTAAAACTTTGACAGGATCATTCTGTCAAGATGTTAAGGCATTAGTTTGTCCAACTGTTGTGGTGAAGCTCAGCTTCCACCACACACTGCATCACTGTTGCTTCCATATAAGTGATGTTTTGCCACATTTATCCAGTCATTGTCTAGCCCCTGTAATTTGAAAAGAAATTATAGTGTTGCTCCATTGAAGCCATTTAATGAATCTCAATAATAGATCATTACAGTTCATTGTTATCAGAACGGATTAAACATTTTAATTTAGAGTATACATAGAAAATTATATCGTCTACACTCAGACACACAAAGAAAATTCCCTACAAAATGCTAGATTCATAATATCTGTGAATAAAAATAGTTCAGCTCTTTAAGTCAATTAAAGCTTAGCTTCAACTGGTTTTCAGTGTTCTGAACTATTTCCAAATTCTTTGATTTCAGAGAGACTAACCATCTTAGGTATCTACGTGGGGAGGTGGAGGTCATTTACACGTCGAACCTTCCCAAATTATTCAGCTGTCTGGGACTGGAAATCTTAATAAAATCACTTTGGTTATTTCTTTCGAGGCTTGGAAACGTTTGTTACATATTAAATGAACTGTCTAATGGCCTTAGTCGATGTACTCAATGACGTTGAAACCCACGATAGGAAAAGCAAAACATTTAAGTTTCATTTCACTGTTTACATCTCTTCTAAATTTAGAAAATGATAACGATAAAGTAATTTTACCTGACAGACCAAACTCAGGGCTCTTAACCGCATCATACGTCGTCACTGATGACGTCTGAGGGTTTTAACGATTACTGTATCAAGATGGCGCTGCGGCCGGGATCCGGAGGAGGCAGCAGGTATTTTATTCCTTTAAGAATTATTAAACACGACTCGATAAATTGAACGTGTTAGTAGAATGGCAGCGTATGTAGACCACTCATCCTCAACATGTGTATTGAACGCGAGACGTCGTTTTGTTTTCGTTAATTTTGGTGTGTTGAGATGTGTCAGGTGTCATGGCTAGCGCTAGCTACCGCTAACAGCCTCCGCCTCTCTCTCGCTGTCAAATAAGGAATGGACCTCTTTGCCCCAATTATTGGACAAGAGCCTTTGTTAACAAAATTTTGGAAGAACATCATCGTAAATATTCCCTTTAAGGCCCCTACTCTTTTTCTTTACAAAAGCATTTATCATCCCAGTGCTCATTTTGTAACATGTACAAAGCCAAACGAGTTGAAATCGAAGTAGAAAATATTTGTTATCAACAAAATTGACGATTTGGCAACAGTATTTGCAGCTGTAACACATAGATTGGTAGTATTTAATGTATAATGTGATTGTTTATTATTAACCATCTACATAAAATAATACGTTGTCCTAATTACATTGCAAATTGCACAGTGCCACAGCACATCAAAACATATAATTGCTAATTTTTTTAAAAGTAGGTAAAAATATGGAATATACGTAATTGTCACCAATTATACCTAATCTGAGTCTTTAAATACTGACTAAATACTACTGACTAAATACTACTATTGCAATACAACATGCCAATATCTTATTTAGCTCCCCTAGTCTAAATTGCAAAATGATACTCAAATCTATCTAGTCTATTATTTTCATTTACTTATTGATTTGTCAAGTATTTTATTCTACAGTTAGTTGTTATGGCATTTAAAAATGATATAATATAAATGATATATTTATATAAGTATTACTTGTGATTTCTTTCTTTTGCTTCACTGAAGTGGAGCTGCTTGAATAATTGATCATGTTCTTGGTACAAATGTCCTAATGAGCCAGGTGAAACTGATCTAATGTCAGAAACCAAAAACCTCAATATGGACTAATTGTATTTGAGAGGGCAGTAGTAAAAAGTGTTGACATGAGCTGTATTGAATGGAGAAATGCTGAACTGTTGGCCTCACTTTACTGAAAACAAATCTACCAACTGTAGCAAGATTTTTAGTTGTTCGTTATCCTAAACAGTTACTCACACACATACAGTAGGTAGAGCTGACACCGGTGTTCTCTGTCTGGCATCACTTGGTAGAGTAGTGTCACCTATGTTCCTTATGATTAGTCCACTGTGTTACTTTGTTAATCATAAGATGGACAATATTGTAACAATGCCAGAACACACAACACTGGCTGACAGCTGTGCAGCTGGTTGGATTGAAATGTGGGGACGGAGTATCAGGTTGCTCAGTCATAACATATTCTGGCACACTGAGTATTTGAAGTAATGTAGTGGGAGATCTGATTTTTTTTTTCTAAATAAAACGTATTTCTTATTGATAATCATTGATATCATTGTATTGATATCATATACAAAATATTCATAATATTACTTATGTTCTGTGCCCTGGATGTTTGGAACTCCTGGTCTACACTACTTTTGTATTTGAATTGAAATGTAATCACATTTGTGATGTCACACTGTATGATTACATAACACTTAATAAATTACTGGGATATGGTGTTTATTTTAAATGAAAGCAGACACGCCAAGCTTCCAGGCCCTTATGAATATTTTACACTTTCTTGTTTAATTTTTCAAATTGACAGGAACCAAATTTGAGATAGCTCTGGTAACATCTCTCCAATTGAAGGGTTGAAGCAGTTTGATCGCATGTCATTTTCATGTGTACATTTCTCTCTTTTTTTTTTTGCAGTTTTATGTATCCTGTTGGAGGAGGCCTGGGGACACCTCAAGGTAAGCTGACCAAAAAAGGAATATATCAAAATAATATGACTAATGAATAAACTAATTTATCACCAATCTTAAGGTGAGATGTAGATATTGTAGTGCTTTGTTGAAAAACAGGGTGAAGGGCAGAGCATTAGTGAAATGGTTACAGCTTTGGTGTCATATCATTAAATTTACTGGGTTCAATTCCCAGAGAAACCACATATCCCTAATGGTGCCTGTCTCGGTTGTGAAGACTAACACTGTGAATTTTTCACATTGTGGGACAAATAAGGGACTCAATTATTATTATTACTATTATTATTTGATCAAATAAAGCAATTATAGCTAAGTGGTGACATAGTAATACTTACTTTATTATAGTGCAAATATTTACAAATGGCCTCACTTACACATGTTATGCACCAGATATTTATATATATTTCTTTAATTTGATAAACAATTTTTAGTGAGGCGTCATTAACCTGGATGTGCATTTTTTTGTAATTTGCAGGTATGGTGTCCCTGCAGCAGCAGCAGCAACAACAGCAACAGCAGCAGGGTTTTCCAATGGTCCAGGTCATGCAACCTAACATTCAGGGCATGATGGGAATGAACTTTGGTGGACAGATGGCTCCAGGAGCAATGCCCATGCAGGTAAGCTTTACAAACAGGGATGCATTAATAGCTGAATAATTAATTCCTTTTTTCAGTTTTCTTTGAATAATATAAATAACTACTGCCAGGTCCTATGGCTTGTTGCAGGACATCGTTCATCAACACTGTGACAGTTTGTGGTCATTTTATGGCTCTCTGCTAAATTCTTAGGCTGATGTTCTCTTAATTGGTCAAGTCAACAAACATATTTGTACATCATTTCATTCTCAAATGATTTTCTGTCAGTATGACTAAGTGACTTGGCAAAAACTGTTGAAACTTTTAACCTTTAAAAAAAAAAACTTTTTATGGTTTTATATGAACAGGGCGGAATGGCAATTGGGATGCAGACACCTGGAATGCAGTTCTTGGGTCAGCCACAGTTTATGGGTATGAGGCCTGCGGGACCTCAGCAGTACACAGCAGACATGCAGAAACAAATGGTGGAGGAGCACCAGTAAGAACGTTTAACATTAATACCATTAATTCAGTTTGTTTGTTTGTTATTCTATGTCTGATAACACTTTTTTGACAGTATGACAGTTATATATACAGGCTATTTAGAGGCTACACCCAAAAAGTGACAAAATCATTTTGTATTGTAGTAATTTGTTCAAGAAATCAGTAAAAAATTTATAAAAAATATTATTATTATGTCTTGCTAAAAAAACAAATTTGTGGGTATGAAAATGTTAAATGTTATATGCATTACTGCATTACTACATAACTCGTGTGAGTCGCCAACCATAACTAAAGTGTATTTCAAGTAATTTTACCAGGATACATTTTATTCCAAAATCTGGTCTGCACTCATTGTACATTTTCAGAAAGCGTCTGGAACAGCAGCAAAAGATGCTGGAGGAAGACAGAAGAAGACGACAGTTTGAGGAACAGAAGCAGAAGTTGAGGCTTCTCAGCAGCGTCAAACCCAAGGTGACTTCTTCTCAAACTGTATTCTTGTCATCATTTCTGCTGCACTGACTATTGACACTTCTGCTTTTGACTTAGACTGGGGAGAAGAGCCGAGATGATGCCTTGGAAGCCATCAAAGGCAACCTTGACGGCTTTAGCAGAGATGCAAAGATGCACCCAACTCCATCATCACAGACCAAAAAAACAGGTATCTAATACCAAAACTATTTTGAGTTTTAAATATTTTTTCCCATCACCTTTTCTGTTCTTTTTGAAAAATTATATTTAGGAAGCTCATTTTAAGGACTGCTTTGGAGTGGAACCTTTCTGATACTTTGTCTATGAAATTTTCAATGTGAAGATTAAATTAGTTGTTTTTATCCTATTTGCACCTTCACAATCAGATTTTTAATGAGACCTTTGAATATAGGTCTTTGTGGGGTTTTTTAGCACCAAATCATAATAGAAACGTTTTTCAAGAAACTAAATTGTTTTTGGTTCAACTACCCGTGTTTCCATCGTAGTGACGTAACCTAGAACTAAAAATCGGATGCCTGGTCGTGAGTCAGTGGTGAGGTTTTCCATCACAGCAAGAATGTCACAACTTTCTATTATAATCGATATTTAATACCAACATATTAAGTCTACAACAGACACATCCTTAAGGATGAGTCTGTGTCCAAAACCAAACATTGTTCAAACAAAAATGTTTCAGTGCCTGTTTTACACTGGTTAAGCAGCAGTCAAAAAAGTTACTGATTTTCTTAACGGTATAAAAATTGTTGGAGTTGCTTTTTGCCAAATTTCTGTTCTATACTGGTAACTTCTTTTCTCAGAAGATTTTTTTCCCCCATGCAAATCAGGTAATGTTTTTGTAGCACAAAAATGTAGGTAAAAATGAAATATACCTCAAGGNAAATGAAATATACCTCAAGGTGTCATAAATAACCGTAAACTCTTTCACCATTCCAGTGTTTGACCTGTCTTGTGCCATTATCATTATTTCTTCATTTTGCAGAGTCATCACCATCACATTCGTCTGTCACCACTCACTCCCACCCTGCAGCTTTATTTGGGGATAATGATGAATTTAGTGACTTTCAGGGGCCCGTAGATGCCTCAGCCTCAATTCCTTTGCCTTCCTCCTCCTCCTCCTCAACCACCAACACTTTTGGCCTCTCTTCTCAGACACATGTCCATCCATCATCCCATGGTTCCGTACAGGACGATGATGAGTTCAGTGACTTTGTTCAGGGTCCTGTAAATAATATCCCTTCCTCCGACTTCCAGCATTCCTCTCAAGGGGAATTCAAAGCTTTATTTCCCTCCTCACATTCCCTTCCTCAGTCCCTCCCCACCTCTGTGTCCATTACAAATGCCTCCCAACATTGTGCTGTCAACTCAAGCTCTTCATCTACATTTCAAGGTAATTCTTCTTTTGTTTTGTTAACAACTTTCTTCTTATTCCTGTTCTTCAACATTCATTTAATCAACAAACAATTAACTTTGAAGGTTTTTGTTTGTTTTATTTTATTTACCTACATGTAGACAGACATCAGTAACCTGTGAGATTTGACATATATACATTAAACCCACTTTACTTACACTCTTACCCAGAACTATTACCAATGTCCATCCTGTGTGATCCATCCATGGATATTGGCATATACTAATACACACAAGCACAGGGATAAAACCCACAAGCATTTGCGTATTTCTAGTGAAGACACTTACGGTCAGGAGCCGTAAACTCCCCACATCTTTTTCTGGCCTTTATTCGGTTGTTTAAATGTGATAAAGAGGTTTCTAATAGCGCTGTAGTATTATACAGTATATATATTTGAAAAAAAATCTACATTTGTTTTCTGATTTGTATTTAACATCACATACTATGTGGTCCTCCAATGAAATGACAGTGGCAGCAGTGGCTCTCTGCTTGTCTTAGGTTAGATAGATAGAGAGATCTTTAGAGAGAACTTTATTAATTCCTCGGGAGGGCTTATCATCGATTGATAGGAAAATAACAATATAATCACCTTAACCTCTGTCTACACATAAAAATGGAGAAGCACAAGTTGAAAGTCGGTTTTGTCCTTACCTTTATATTACCCTTACACTATTGACAGCAATTGATAAAAATTATAGTACTCTCCAGTTGCGGCTAAATTGCATCACAAAGGAAGAATACAGATACAAATAATTACTCTTAATTACTCTTAACTAAAATTTCACTTGGATTTTAAAGAAATGTGTTCCTCATTCACACATCTAGGCCCATCCCTGGAAGAGAAGCTTTTGTCCTCGTGTGACTTTACAGCTGGTATGACGGCGCAGGTTAGCTTTAAACCCAGGCAGAGTTTGGAAGAAATGGGGCCACAAACAAAAGTTTCTACTCAGTTTCAAACCAGCACTAAAGCCAGGAACTGGAAAGCAGCCAATGAAGACTTGAGTTCACTCTTCATCCCAGAAAAAACACCGGTGGTCCCAGTTTCTGCACCCACTGAGCACCTGTCAGCTGTTGACACCTCATCCTCCCTCCAAACCAGTAGTGAAAGTGGTGAGAGAAGTGCCTACTTATTAGATTTTGGCTATATCCCCACAACCACATTTTGATTTTAAACAGCTTTGAGTAAAGACATGTGTTTCATATCCATGTTAGCAGTCATTTCTTGACTGATACAATTCCGTTAAAAATGCATATAATATGGTTCTCCGTACCTTCATTTTAGCTATTTTAGACAGGAGATTTCAGAGCCCAGGGTGTTGGTGGTTGACATTGTAATTCGTGGTGAGACCAGGGAACAGGTGGGGGAATTACAGAATACATGTGCTCATAGTGACCGAGGTGGAAGAGTGAAGCTGATGTAGTTAAAATGATATATCATTTTTATATCATCATGAATGGACAGAATATTCAGATGCTTTGGACATGTGCCAAGGAAAGCTACAGATAGGTTTGGTCACCTGTTACAGTCAAGACAGGTCACTTATATTTTGCTATGTTAGGCTATCAGAACTTTTTAAATTTTTTAAAATGGTTTCTCATGTTAATGTGCTACCATTTTTTTTTTTTATTTTAAATCTTTGACATTTTTGGTCTTTTGGTTGTTTTAAACAGCTCTTTGGGCAGTCCATAACTATTGCACATAACTGTGTTCTTATTCATTTGAGTTCCGAATGTACAGTATTTTGACCATTTTTAGCAGTAATAGGTGGCTGAAGCACAGATAGGAAACATTTTAGCTATAACTCTTAATGGATTAATATTGTATTATGTGAGCCTACAACTCTCAATCTGTAGCCGGTTGTGGTTACTGGTAAAACCTTGGAAACATGGATATGAAACCCTGTTCACAATAAAAGCAGACTGGAAGGTATAAAATAAGCACTTTGTTTTGCTTTTCTCCGATAGCCTCAAAATTGTGCAGTTTTATGGTGACACATGCAGTATGAAGTATGTTTTTAAAAAATAAAGTTCACCATATGTAGCCGATTTTCACTGCTGCTGCTTCTCTCTCCAATGCCATGCTACAACACTAATCAATAACTTTTCCTTTACTGGTGGGACTCATTCTGATTCCAATCCTAACAACATAATGTACCCCATTTTCATCACTATAATCACTCCAATCTCTGTGGCCATAATTTCACTGACATCTTTATTTTGTGGCATTTCTGTGAGATGTTTTCTCTGGTGACCTTATTGCACTCTCTTCTTTCTGCTTTTTTTCTTCCTGCTTTAATTACCTTTTTTGGTGCAGCCTCATTTTGCCACCAAAAGCTTGATATCAAAAATTAATCCAGCATAAGGATTTTGTGTAAGGTGCTTTCTTGTCATACACTCTCTTTTGTGTATGAAACTGTTTTGATTAAAGACTGTGTATCAGAAAGTATTGTAGTTAATTGGCAAATAAGATAACAGTACCAGTTACAAGTACACAAAAACTTAAAATTATATATATGTATATATGTATATATATGTGTGTATATATATATATTTATATGTATATATATATATATATATATATATGTGTGTATATATATATATTTATATGTATATATATATATATATATATATATATGTGTGTATATATATATATTTATATGTATATATATATATATATATATATATGTGTGTATATATATATATTTATATGTATATATATATATATATATATATGTGTGTATATATATATATTTATATGTATATATATATATATATATATATGTGTGTATATATATATATTTATATGTATATATATATATATATATATATGTGTGTATATATATATATTTATATGTATATATATATATATATATATATATACATATAAATATATATATATACACACATATATATATATATATATATATATATGTGTGTATATATATATATTTATATGTATATATATATATATATATATATACATATAAATATATATATATACACACATATATATATATATATATATATATACATATAAATATATATATATACACACATATATATATATATATATATATACATATAAATATATATATATACACACATATATATATATATATATATATATACATATAAATATATATATATACACACATATATATATATATATATATATAATAAAAGCGATCTCTGTTCATAGCTGTCTTTGGAGGTGTTTTTTACAGTTATATAGTGTCTTGTTTTGAGCAGAGTGAATTTCACGAACCTTTTAACTATATTATTTTCCCCAAGTATCTTCACTGGCAGTTGGCTTCAGTCGTTTGGAGCTAAGGTGCTAGGGCACACGTTGTGAATATCATAATGTTGCTTCTAATGCAAGTTGTTGGTGCAATTTATGTAACTTAACGTTAATGTTTTCTGTTTTTCCACCAAGCTTTTTGCATCAGCCTAGTGTAGGAATGGGCTGTTTTCTGGGTTCTGGGATATTATAACTTATGTCATGTGATCTTTTGCCATTCACACATTCCCTTGCATGAATAATTTCTGGTGCATGGTAAGATGCTAAAGCTAAACAGCACAGGTTTGGTATCAGGTGTATGACTCTATTTGAAACAATATATGTTCTTACTGTACGGTAGCTACAAAGATGCTTGGTACATTGTATACCAAGATTTGTGTGGTATACGTAGTAATTAACACTGTATATTTAAATGTATTTTTCTGCCGTGTGACAGCAGGTGTTGGTGGGTACCCACAACAAGAGCACATCCAGCCTATGCTCCCTGCGTGGGTCTACAATGACAGCCTTGTCCCAGGTAAACATTTTCATAAAATGGTCTCTTCATTAAGGTATCTATTGAAGACGCTCGGCTTAGACTTCAAAGATTTATCCTCTGTGTTTATGATTATTATGTTTCAAACTTAGTTATTCATTTGGCCAATATTCTTTTAGAACTGACTTTGTTTTGCATTTTATTAAGAATCTAAAGTTCATAATAAGCCACAATAATTGCTCGACATAGGTATTCATTCAACACAATTTGTAATTGAAAAATTAATAGTTAACCCAAATATCTGTTGTGATTTTGTCCTGTGATCATCTTTTTTGTAGAAATGTTCAAGAAAGTGTTTGAGATCACCATGACTCAAACAGGGATCGACACAGCAAAGCTCTACCCCATATTGATGTCATCAGGGCTTCCAAGGGAAGCACTGGGGCAAATCTGGGCCTCAGCCAACCGCACAACCCCGGGCATGCTCACAAAAGAGGAACTGTACACTGTACTTTCACTCATTGGGGTGGCACAGGTAAACACTGTAGACAGAACAGAACAGAAAATAAAGAAAGAAAGAAAGGATCAAACCTACGTCAATAAGTCCAAGGCTTATGATTTATGAAGACCCAAATATATGGCTCACGTAGGTCAGGGTTGATGAGAGGCTTATTATCATTGTAAACCCAGGCTATTACAAGAACCACAGACATCCTTGTACCTCTCTGGCCCTCTGAACCATGTGAAACAGTTGTTAAATTCAAAGTCCAAACAATGTGTGACTTCTTTTCTCTTTTACTTTGCTGTTATTTCGCTTTTTATTTGAAGGCAACTCGTGTTTTGTTTCTAAATTAAAGTCAGTCACTGTCACTCAAATGTGTTAACAATTTTGTTAGTTGGTTTCCAACTAGTTCTTGTGCAAATTTGAAATGCTGTAGGTCTGTTTTGTGCTCTTAAATATGGAAAAATATGAAACATGGACTGTTTTTTTTTCTTATTTCTCCAGAGTGGCCTCCCAGCAATGAATGTAGAAATCCTCAGTCAGTTCCCCTCTCCACCCCTGCCCAACCTGCCAGCCTTGGCTATGACCATGGCCCCAGTTATCCCGCCTCACTCACAGCCCATGATGAGCCAGCCTACTGTCTCCATGTCCATGCCGTCATCAACAACCCCTGTTATGGTCATGACACCTGCAGTCATAGCTCAGCACCCCACAAGCACAAACTTCATCGCCAGCTTTCCGCCAACAATGGTAAATTTGGCTTTAGTACAAACTTTTTCATTGTTTTATTTTTTTGCATTGCATAAGGGTACAGTAGTGATAAAATAAATTAAAATAAAACATTTTAATCTGGCACCAGGAAATGTCCTTGTTACAACAGAGTGAAAACAAGACGCTACCAAATTAAAGAGGCTATAATGAAGAAGAGAAGTTAATGTTTTATATTAATCATTGTTGACCCAGGCCACCAAAGCTGATGACGATGACTTCCAGGAATTCCAGGAGGCTCCAAAAGGCGGATTAAAAGACCAGCCCTTTGCTGATTTCCAGGGGGCATCAGGAGGAAGTTTTTCCACCACCATAGCACCGCAGCAACAAAGCAGGTACAAAGCCTTGTTTGTCTACCTGTCTATATATCCTATAAAGCCTATAAAAGCTCTCTCTAGAATAGAAATGTGATCTGTGTCATTTCACTACAGTATTATTTCATATAAGTTAGCAGGAGGAGAGAGGATTTAGCGTCATCATGCTGTGTCAATAAAGACTTTTAAAGTCTAATGCAAAGTTATTAACCTCTTTTTAACTATTGCTTTGGCTTCTTTGTTTTTGCAGTGCATCTACCATGCTGACACCAATGTGTGGTTCCTCCTCCTCTGCCTCTACAACCTCCTCAGATAAATATGCCGCCTTTAAGCAACTGTCTGTGGATCAGCCGGCCGAGCCCACTACCCATGTCTCAGGTATCTCAGCTAAACTTTGGCTAAATGTGCAAATGTAGATTCAAGTGCACCATGAATGCCATAAATACATCCCAGAAAAAGAATAAAAAGCAAAATGAACTAAAACATAACCCCCAAATAGTTTGTAAGTACCAAAAACGTAACCAAATATTCATCAAAATTCAAAACATAAAGAAAGATCTAAAGAAATGACAACATAAACAAGAAAAAAACTATAGCATCAATAGCTTAAGGGAAGCTAAAACATTGCTAAAAGAATTTCAATTCAATTAAATTTCCAGAACTAGCCACGACATGAAGAATGATTGCAGGTGGTCCTTTAATCAGGGGTCAGTCTACTGTGTGGTTCCACTCGTACGACAATTCACTGTTTTACTGTGGCTAAAGAACATTTTGTCTTTTGTTTTTCTACAGATGTTGGCGACAGATACAGTGTTTTCAGAGACCTCCAAAAACCTACTGACAAGAAACCTGTTGGTAATAACACTTTCTTTGTTTTTTTTGTGTGTGTGTAACTCAAGGTTAAAAGTGTAATTCACCCTTTCTGATTCTGTGGTGTTTTTGATACTAGTGTGTTTCCTTGTCTCATTAGTGCAGTTTCCAATGGAAACAAGTCCAGTAAGTTGTGCTTTGCAGTGAGCTCTACTTCAGGCAGCCCATTAGCCCCATGAGCCATAGTTTTTCTTTTCCTCAGAACACAGCACTAGTGTTAGTAAGGGTGTCACTTTTCCCCAGTTAGCTCTGCAGCTTGAAGGTCCATGTCATTGATACAGTAAACACATATATTGTCAGGAGATGCCCTATCATAACTGCCCTGCTGGCCCTGAAGTCAATTAAGATGGACTTTTTTTTGTTTTGCTCCATGGGACACATGCGAGAAATAAGTCTACAAATACTGTCATCAGAAAAGATCTCTGAGTGATAAACCCTAAAAAAAAAACTTTTATTCCGCAAGTTAGATTTGACTTACTTATTTATATAAATATATGTGTCATAAAAAATATGTTATGACCTGAGCAGAGCCGATCTTTAAGCATTGTGCTTTGGGTTGTATATGATTGGGTTGTTGAAAGTGGGACTAAAGGCATTGACAGACACTTCAGAGATGTAATCATATGTCCAAAACCCTGACAGTCAATTTGGGTCTAACTTTCTAACCGTTTAAGAATTGGGGCTACTCTTCTGCATGTTGTTAACTTGTTGGAGTTGTGTTACCATCTTCAATCTTTTAGCACTACTGGCTAGGATTTTTTCCAACTGTGATGTGTATAGTAACTTTGCTGTTTTGCACTGTCCTTAGCATGTGGCTACTGTGGTTACTTTGTATGAGACAACAGTTCATTTGGTTTATTAAGCTAACATATAGTCTTTTCTTCAATAGCTATCTAATTCTGGGCTATTGCCTATTGTCTGGACTAAATGTTGTCTATCTGCTATATTTCTGCCTTCTCCCCAGGCTTACCATGGGGCATTACTCTAAATGCTTGCTTTTATCATTTTGTCCGATTACTAGGTTTTTCCATGCTAATTATTAGCTAATTTCTTGACTATTCTTTATATATATGTATAGCTGACTATTGCTTATTTTCAATCTTAGTTTCAAACTATGTTGACTAAGCAAGTTCAAATTAACCAATTTGTATTTTACTTGATTGGTTTTCATTTCAACATCAGACAAAATCTTTTGAATCCTTAAGCCCCTCATTTTTATATTATGTTAGAGAGATCTAGCTGAACATTTCAAAAAGTCAGTAGAATATTTCTCAATCTTTGTTTCTTTTTATTGTTGTTGACTGGAGTTGACCCTTGAGATTGTTTCAGGTTGTACCTGTCATATCTGTGTTTCTAAACAAGAATTATGTTCTCTGTTCACAGGGGAAGGATTTGCAGATTTCAAGTGTGTCAGTGCTGACGATGGCTTTACAGACTTTAAAACCGCCGACAGCGTCTCTCCACTAGACCCTTCAGAACAGGCCAAAACCTTCCAGCCCTCCTCCTTTCCTTCGATTTTCACAAACTCCCAGTCTCAACAACAGCTACAACAGCAGCAACCAGTCTCTCTTTCTCCAAGCAAAAACTTGTTGAACATAGCTGACCTGGAGCTTTTTTCTTCTACAGCTCCTTCTGTTCCCGCTCCTGCTGAGATAAAACCTAGCACATTTATGCCTGTGTCTGTCCCACCCTCTCTTGTCCTCCTGTCAGGAGGTGCTAAACCTTCAGGTGGTGGAACAGATGAATTTGGTGACTTTGCCCTCTTTAGCACCTCCTCAGACACTGACCATGCTTTGGCAGCAGGTGGAACTGCAGCTCCGGGGCCTCAGGATGATTTTGCAGACTTCTTGGCCTTTGGTAGTTCCAGTGGTGAGCCCAAAAGCAACACTGGTGAAGGAATTGTGTTACAGGTGGAGCCTCTGACAAAGCAGCAGCAGTCTCATCAGAACTCTGATAAATATGATGTATTTAAACAACTGTCCATGGAGGGAGGCCTCACAAATGATGACACCAAGGAAAGCAGTGGTGGCTCCATCTCTTCTGCTAAAAGCGACACCGATGACTTTGCTGACTTTCAGTCCTCCCAATTCTGTACAGCACTCGGGGCTTCAGAGAAGACCCTGGATAAGGTCTCGGCCTTTAAGCATGGCAAAGAGGACTCCAGCTCTGTGAAATCCCTGGACTTGCCATCCATCGGAGGAAGCAGTGTGGGAAAGGACGATTCTGAGGATGCGTTGTCAGTGCAGCTGGACATGAAGCTTTCAGATATGGGCAGCGATCTGAAGCATGTGATGTCGGACAGCTCTCTGGATTTGCCTGGTCTGTCAGTTCACCAACCCCCGGCCACAGGTGAGGAACTAGTGCGTTTGCTCTGGTGAGGTCTTGTTACTCACACACTAATATGTATCCAGGCTCAGTTGGGGCTATTGCTTTCTCAGTATACTTTGTTTCAATCAACAAATGAGTGAAGAGAAATATAATAATTTTACTTTGTTCCAAAACATAGGATAGACCCAAACCTACATAATATAACGTATCATGCACAACATTTTTATTTAACATGTCATGATCCATTCAATCATATTTTAGCTATGCTCACCTTTATTTTCTTCACTGCTTCCCTTTCTATCATCTTCATTTTTAATGTTGTTTAACAGAGTTCATGACACATTTGAAGTGGTCATCTGTGGTCAGTGGCTGGCGTTGACATGTTGGACATTGATTGGTACATAAGGTCTCTGGTATTGGGTCAAGCCCACCAAAGTTTTGTGTGTACGTACTTGACCAAAGTACTCTGGCATCAGTATAGTGTGGTTGTCCTTGTCGTGAAGGAGTAGATACAGAGTATTATTCCACAGTTTGACAGTAAGCAAGTACTTTACAGAATACTTTTTAAAATACGGGGATCCTCAACTTACCTTGGAGTTCTGTTTCTATGGTGCAATGTAGCTCGAAGTTCGGCACTTACATACTGTACATAAGTACCTACTGTATATCAGTGCGTGGTCTGGTGACAGCCTGACTGTGTCAATCCTTGAACTGGGTTTGCTTTGGCTGGCGTATATTAGTCATAAATGTCTAGTCATAGCTTTTTTTCCGTCAAAATGCTACTGTATACTGAATTCAAGTTTGGTGTTTGGAGTCTTTTTTCCTATGTGCATTATATTTGCCATTTCTTTTTAATTCCAGTTAAACTGTTCTTGTCTAGCTAGCCTGGTGAATTCCAACAGCCAAGGTTAAATCTAAGATACATGTATGCATATTCAATCCTGTCTAGGCTATGTGGTGGCAAGGTGGCGCTTGCGAGTGCAAAAATATAGTTTTTTTTACCAGGTATCAAAGCCAGAGATGTAAAAGGTCAAATGAAACACTTTTCTTCTTGTAGTTCCTGTTAGTTATTTTGTCCATAATGACATTTTCCTGCTCTTCTGGTTGGATGTCTGCTAAGGCCATGAGCAGGCACACTTTCGTCAAACGGTTTTAGAAATGTTCTGCAAGGAACAGTACAATGGAAACAGTGGCTGATCTAGAAATATTTATCATTTTTACGAGGTGGCAAGGGTATTGCAATAGTAAATGTAATGATTTATTTATACTTTTTTATAATTTGATTGTCTCCCATATTTCCTCTGCCTTGGGTGTCCATGTGTGCTTCTTATACATGGGACATACACTTCTTATCAGTGTTTTTGCACTTATTATTTTCTGGTAGCAGTCAAACCCACTGTAGGATAGTCTGTTTCAAGTGGGTTATAGTGTTTGATTTATATCGACGTCAATGATGGTACGTTTTCTTCCTTGTTCAATGTCCCTTTTTCACTGCTACTGTAGTTTATCGGGAAACCATAGTGTTCTCAAACGGCACACCTGAAAGAGATAACTTCAGTTTACCACACAAGGCTGATCTGTGCTAAATGCTAACTAAAGTAAGGTTTCTGGAAGTGTTTGAATGACTCACCCCAGCATGGTTTGGGTCATGTCAAATGTTCTGGTTAAACCTGCAATTTCAGTTCAGCTCTGCTTTACCCTACATTTCAAGAATATAAAGTACAGAAATAACTTCTGGATTCGCAATGTACCGTATGCATAATATACAACATATACATATAAACTTATACATGTACATGATTAAAATACAAAAGTTCCATACTTATTTTTCTTATTGTTAATTTTGTGTTATGCCAAATTTCACTTGATTTTTTTAACCTAAAATAATTAAATACATTCAGAAAACTTTTAAAAAAATAATTTATTATAAAAGATCTGCATGTAACCTCTGCAAACAAGCTGCTGTAACAGAAGCTACATTTGAGCTTAATGTTGTACATTTTCTAAGTGTTTGTACATCAGCTGCTACATTACCGTACAGTATTTTCAAACTTACACACAGTATCATTTAATAAATAGCCTTTCAGTAACATCAGAAATGGGTGTTAACCTCATAAGTAAACCCCAAAAGTAAAAGTAATTCAAACTAATAATCTATGTCAGTATCAGCTACTGTCCATGTATTTGTTCCCTCTTCATGAATCCATAGCTCATTATTTTTTTACATCACCATGTCACAGCTCACCTTTCACTTAAAACACCCTTGACCAATTTCAATGCAACTCCTTCAAATAATAAATTACTTATCCCAATTTATGTATTTAGCTTAATTAAGTAAGGTGTAAGAATAGAAGGGCAGATGTGAGTGAGCCATTGTCCAATCACTCAGAAAGTTTGTTTTATTCAAAAAAATGTTAACTAACTTCAAAGAATGTTGGTCACGATAATGAGAATCCATAATAAGACATCATTATTTCAATTGACACAAGCTGAACAGAATAGTGTTACTTATGCATGCTAACAGAATTGTGTTTTCTTCATCTTTTTTTAAAAAGCATCATTGGATGTATGCAGATCATTCTTATTTCCATACATGAAAACATTCTTATCACCTTATTGTAGCTCCTGTTATGGTTTGACAGTCATTACTCAGTTACACTCAGTTACTTTTCCCTTTGTACTTTTTTTTTTCTCTTTTGTTCCGTCTTCGAAATACTGTTCCTGTTATATGTGTGTAACAGGGAGGACAGTTTAAACACAATGCAAGCATAGACTGTATGTCGAAGTAGCAGTCGACTTTCTGTTTTTAAATAAACCTTTTTAAGCATATACACTTCCAATTCGACCAAAACCATGAAGTTCACTAACTCTATCAGCAGTTGTGTATTTTCTCCTAAAACTAGCATGAGAACATCTCATCATGCCTATTCAAAAGTATCTTCATTCTTCTGTGGACCTTAGTTATTACACACATCTTTTTTAAGCTAGCAGTTGCCACTGCTTCCTCCAGTGCCAACAATAAAAACAGTCTACATATGCCATGCTATTTTATGAACATAATCAAAAAAAATTAAAGAGACAGTATTTCTTTTTTAATTGTTTGTGTGTGTGTGTGTGTGTGTCACAAAATGAAACATTTATTTTTCTATTTTTTCCTGCTAAAATCGGTCTGTAATCACTTGTGACTTTCCAGTCCGACTCTTTTTCAATTTGTGGAATTGACAAGAAATTTGTAAAGAGGAAACTTTTCACAGATTAGAGAAAAATATACTTATGATGGAGTATATTTATTACAATATGGGAACTTATTTTGAGGAAAGAAACCATCCCTGAACTTTCTGCTATTTACGTACTATGTCTATTGGTGCGAGCAAACAGTATGTGGATAAATAATTATTAAGGGGTCACCATCCTCAAAGAACAACTTGAGAAAATGTCTTGAGAAAATAATGTTGTGGAAGTGTATGTGCTTTTCAAGGCACGTCAAAATTGAGAAAAAAATGATACTGTCTCTTTAAATTTGTCTGAGCATCTACTAAATAGAGTAAATGACGATGCATCGGTAAAGAATAGTCCTCTCTTTTTCTTAGTCCAACCCTTTGAGTGCTTGGTAAAGAGTCACTCCAGCAGACATTGCCTCCTCCTGTCTTTAATGAATTATCCCTAAACATTGTTTATTTAAAGCATTTTATGCACCTCCAACCCTAAGGTCCTCAAAGGGTTCATGGTTGTACCTCGATCTTGCTTTTTGCATTATCTGACCAACTTGGCTTTTCAAATGTTCTATAAGCAAATATTGTTCCAAACTTTATTGTTGCTTTACAATTAAGTATAAAACCATAAGTGTTATCCCCCAGAGTGACTGATTTAGTCTGTGAATGTGCCTTCTCATTCTGGGTTCTGCTTCTCTATCCTCTGGGATTTCCTTAATTATTTTTTTTCTCACTGTTTGTTTCCTTCCTTTTTTTCTCTTTTCCTGTTACTGCATGCCCATGTACTTTAAATGACTGCATTCTACCTTTGCAAGTGTTGGTTTTACAGAACTCTTTTAAGGATAGGCTTCTTTCACTGTATTTACAGTTTTTCTTCTTTCTCTCTACCTATATTGTTGTAATAAATGACTGTTGTTTTGCCTCAATGCCTACCGTCTTATTTCCTCTTCTTTCCTTTTTCCAAAGAGAGGCCTTTTGTTCAAATAGTGCATTTATTAGGCTTCCAGCATATTGTATATTCTTGTCAATTTCACAAATTCTATTAACACTATTCAATGCCTGTGTGATATGTATGAAGACAGTGATCAAATAGTGCTTCCTAACTATTTTTGAGCAAGGGCATATATTTAAAACAAGTGAGTCCCACAGCACACCACCAAACGTGTGTCTTAAAAATATACAGTATGTAGTGGAATATCTAGTTAATCTTCTGGTTTCAGTCTACTAACAATTCATTTACTCAATGTAAAACCTGGGTCTGTTATATTGAACACTACCCTTACTTATTCACAGTAATTGAAGAAAGAAAAAAGAAGGAAAATCAACAGTTCAGTTCTCAAAGAGTCTTTATTTTTTATACCTTTCATCTAGTGGCTGAGTATTTATATGTTCAGCCTGTCACTGTTGAGCAAAATGACATGCTGAAATTAAGCTTTCCATAATATAATAATAATAATGATAATAATAATAATGATAATTTTGAACAGTAAAACTAATGATTTATGCTGGAGTGGTCACTGCAATCACTGGATAACAGAAGCACCAATTGCAATTTTATGGCCAGTTTTGATAACTGATTTTTATTGATGAGTCAAACTTGCCAACTAAAAGGGCTTTTTACTACCAACATTTTTGCAGGGGCAAAGTGTTATTTGTACCTTTGGCATTAGCTGCTTTCCTGTTGTTAGCCCTGTTGAACTGGGCATGTTTGAATCAATGATGGTCTTTGTAGTGTCAGCTCAATAATATTTTTACTTCTATACTTTCTTTGTATTTTGTGCATCAATACAACATGTAGCTTAGTTTTACTTGGCCAGCTGCGGTTTCTTTTCAGTTTAGTTCAGTTTGTCTGTTGGAGTTTACATCAGTAGTTCAATGGTAAATCAGTTGTAAATACCAGCAGAATCCTATTATCCATTAATGAGTATCACAATTAATTCTCAAAATAAAAATCATAGCTTTCTTATTAAATGTATTTCATTTTCTCTAGAAGATGATGAACCACACTAGCAGTAAATAATTGTCAAACAAATAGGTCGAATAGGAAATCCACTCAACACTTCTGTCTCTGCACATGTAGTACTTTGATCACCCAATATTGTATGTATTGTTAAGCTGAAGACGGTAAATTGAGGCTAGAGCAGCAGAACTGATAATTTAGTATGGCTTAAAACACATGAGAGAAGACTTTTAAGGGGTCAGTGTTGCAAACTGTCTTAGAGGACTTTTCAGAAGGCATGTGGAAATGAAATATGTTATATAAAAATGTTTTAAAAATTCTTACATGGAGCCTATGTCAAATACTGGCACAACACTGTTAGGCACAGGATTTTCACTTTAAATATTCTTTACGGCTGCATGTGGACCATGACCATTGATGATTTTGGTTGAAACACGGCTTATTTATTTCCTAAGGCACTTTATGTTATTTGTTTTCCAAAATAATATGGACTTTGTTCCACCAAAGTTGTTTTATTTCTGTATATGCCACTGCTGTAGGTCTGTGGGTTCCTTGGTGGAAAATAGGGATAGTTTAGTTTGACATAAATAAAAGATAATTGAGGTAGATTGATTTAGTTACTTGAATTTATGGATAATAACAAAACAAACATTGTTTCCTGGTACCGAAAAGAAATCCTGAAGAAAAAAGATGCATTGAAAATGTATTAAGTTCTATTTATTTAAATCATGATAATTGTTGAATCATCTAATTACGATTAGATGAATTAGTAATCAAAGTGAATTGTGAGTTGCCTTAGATGGCACACCCCTGTTAGAATTTGCTGCTGAAATGTTTTGCGGACCCTTCTGCCTCAGTTCAACCTGTTTCAAACTGTTTGCTTGAGACACTGTCGCTGCTGTTTCTTCATCACATTCCTAATCTGAATTTCATTACATCACATGAACATTAAATAAGAAAAGTACTACATATTATAGTTACACTTATAGGTAGATACAACATTGTGTGAAATCATTTGATAAATATTGGCATTTATTTATGAATAGAACAGATACGTTTAAATAAAAAAAACCTTAAACCTCTCACTTATATAAGGATTATATATATAACCTTAGTAGGAGTTTAACCCCCTTTCAAAATGAAAATAATTTTGCACCTAAATCTCTAGGAACCACTGGTATTTCTTTGTTATCATTTCAGAAGGAGGCGACCTGAAATTTGACCCCTTTAGGACATCAGCCCTCAGCACCCTGACCAGCTATGACTGGTCAGACCAGGAGGAATGTCTGCCATGCGATCTTAGAAAGCCACAAAGCTTGGACAGAGCTCCGCTTTCTTCTTCAGCTCCCACTCAGAGAAAGGGGCTGTCCACCGAGAGCAGTGAAAACATCCCAGCTAACACTAAAGAAAACTTTGTAGCCTCTTTCCCCACCGAACTCAACTCGTCCACAGATGATACGGTGGAGCCCTACGCTCAGTTTACCTCTGGTGAACGTGGTGGAGTTGTCGCTGTAGACGATGATTTTGGAGATTTTGCAAGTACCGTCTCTGAAAAATCCTTGCCTCCTACTAAAACCGAAACAGGAGAAGATGACTCGGATGAGTTTGGAGCCTTCCAGGGTGACAAGCCCAAATTTGGAAAATTTGACTTTCTCAAAGCCAGTGCTCAGACCAAAGTAAAGTCCAGCGAGGAGATGATCAAGAGTGAACTGGCGACCTTTGACTTGTCTGTTAAAGGTAAGTTACATTCCCAGTCTAAAAGAAAAATGGATATATATGTGTATTTATATATGTATATTCATATGTGTGAATGTGTATCTATCTATATAACCAAACCATGTGATTTGTCTGTTTTGTATGTATATAGCATTAATTTGTGGAGATTAATCATATCATTTTTCAAAGTCAAAGAACTTTATTTGACCCTGAGTTGCACTTCAAAGAAACATAACATTACTTAAATTGCCAAAAGTTTAGATTATTAGCATGTTTTTGCACTGTTAGGCCTGTAAACACCTACTCTAGAAATAAAATCCCTCTCCACTCCTGCATCTGCCTCAGGTTCCCACAAGCGCAGTCACAGTTTGGGTGAAAAGGAGATTGGTCCATCACCACCATCTCCAGCACCAGAGCAGCTCTTCAGAGACAGATCCAACACCCTGAATGAGAAGCCTGCTCTGCCTGTCATCAGAGACAAGTACAAGGACCTGACTGGAGAGGTTGAGGTCAGCTCTGCGCTGCAAACATAGCACCTTTACATGTTGTTTGGCATGGCCTTCTGCATGTAGACTTAGTCTCCACTAAAGGTTACAGAACAGCATTACCTCAAATATACTATTGCATTTATCATTGTGTTTGAAGTAATGAAAATGAAAGTTAAAACTGAGCCTGATAGGAACTTTCAGACACAAATCAGTATTAGAATGCTGCGTTGTGGCTATATTTACAGTAGTATGAAAAACCTAGGACTAGGGCTAAAGAAGAAAAGATCAATCTATATTGTTATTAGTGTAAAGATTAAGGTCCACATATGTAATAGTATAAGGTACAAGTGCATAGGTGATGTAAACCTTTTTGGACGAACATATTGAATTAAATGTAAATTAGCAGCATCATAAAGAAAGACTAAGTCTTACATCATGCAAAATCATACAACTTCCAACTACATAGAAATAGTTGTATGTTAATTTCTGGACACCAGTCATATTTGTCTCGAGGCGTAACCACAAAAATATGTAAGTGTTTTTGGAGCGGCTGTCTTCTGTATGTTTGGTCATTTTTGTGGTCATTAACATTCATTTGTGCTGTTGTTGCAGGAGAGTGAGCGATATGCGTACGAGTGGCAGCGTTGTCTGGAAGGTGCTTTGGAGGTTTGTGTTTAGTTGTCGTTCTCTGAAGCCCAAAGAAAGCAGGTCGTTTTAACAAACTGAATAAAAATAGCTCTGTGTGTGAGAGAGAGAGAAAGAGAGAGAGGACAAAGGTAGCTCTAGAGTATTATACACAAGACATATTTATAAATTAAATGTGCTGTAGTGGAAGTATTCCTATTTAGCAGCTCTGGTTTAATCCACCTACCTCTCCAACTCCAGATCCCAGGGGGCAGGATATTATCAAAAAGGGCATCTGTCATAAAGACTATGCCAAATCATTATGTGACTCACTGCTGTGGTAAACACTAATTAAAGGGGAGGGAAGAAGAAAAGTTACAAACCAGCTGAATTTTTTTTTTCTGTGTGAATTTCTAAAAATGGCAGAAAGCCATCCTGGTGGTAGTTACAGAGTTTCACCAATTCAAAAAAATGAGCACATTTCAATGAGCAAAAGCAATATTTTTTGACTGAGACAGTTTTTTTTTTCATTAGGTCATCAGTAAAGCTAACAACATCCTGAACAGCATCAGCAGCTCCTCTGTCTGCACTGAAGTCATCCAGTCGGCTCAGGGCATGGAATACCTGCTGGGTGAGCACAGGGATAGCTCTGTTAACTTCCAGAAAACTTTTCTGTCTCACCTTTGGGATTTTAGGGCAGACATTCATTTTCTTTAATTAACCATTTAATGTTTGTAGAACTTTAGCTATTATTGAACTTTAAAAACTTTAATTTGGCTTTTTTTTAAATCTAGTTTTACCTTTGTCATTCTACTGTAGCTGCACTTATGGTTATCTTATTATATTTTTAATCTAATATGGGCTTACTGTTATTTATTTACTAATCTGGTGAATGTTACTGCATCTTTGTTTGTTCAAAAGGGTCCATTTGGGTATACCATTTTTTTTTTAAATTGTATTTCATCCTAAACCTGTATTATAATAACCCGTCTTTCTTCTTGGCTGTATCACTTGTTTAACACACTTGTATTTGTTTTATGTTTTAATGCATTTAAAATGTAATTGAATTATCTTTTACACATATACTATATATTTTACTCTCAGGTGTGGTTGAAGTCTATCGTGTGACTCGCCGCGTGGAGCTGGCGATCAAAGCGACAGCAGTGAGTTCTGAAAAGTTACAGCAGCTGCTGACGGACATCAGCCGTATATGGAACAACCTCATGGGCTTCATGTCGCTGGCCAAGCTCGCTGTAAGCTACTGTGAAATGATCAGCCACAAAACTACAGAAAATGCACAACTTAGTTTAATTTAACATTCTTATGTTAATGTGTGGTTTTGCGTTTATGTGTGTGTGTTTTTGACCATCCGACTGACTGACTGTCTGGTTGTGTCTGTGGTTGTAGCCTGATGAAAGTTCTCTAGATTTCTCCTCCTGTGTTCTGAGGCATGGCATCAAGAATGCAAAAGAGTTGGCCTGTGGAGTCTGTCTGCTCAATGTTGATGGTCGTAGCAAGGTTTGTAGAAACACACACACACACACATACACACACAAACACTTGTTTGTAAAGTAGGGCTGCACAATATAACTGACAATACATAGTATCAAATATAAACATTTATTTTAGTATTTGTTACTTTTTGTTGAACCACAAAACAAATTAAGGCTTACAGGAGGGCTGGGGTCTGGGCTCATCACCTATCTCCACCAAAGACAGAATTTGGGGCGGGCCTATTGCAGCGCGTAGCCAAATAAAACAACAAAAAGAAAAGAAAAGCTTCTAAACTCTGACGTGACCATATTACTTAACACCTCTTATAGTGGAGTTAATAGAACTAAAGTTATTTGTTACAACATCAAAAGAAGAAGAAAAAGCTGAAGAATCGGTTTATCACTGCGGTACTTTGACTTTTACTTAAAAGCAACTCACAGGGTTGATTTGAAACCAATCACATGAAAAGCTCCCATTTTGTTTAAGCAGAATATGATTGCACTAAGATGATTTGACTGCATATACAAATATTGTGCAGCCCTACACATCATGCACCTCCTGTCTGATGTACAGTATCTGACATTGTGAAATTTAATACATTTTGCAGAACAAAGAGAGAACTATTGGACGTCTTTTTAAAAGAGTATGACTCATTTTATTTTTTTAATTCAACCTTTACCTTTTCATACTTGGGGTCTTAGGGTGATGGGTTCAATACCTTTAGTATTAAGGCCTACATGACAAGAATTATATTTTTTTCAAGGCACTTTTATAGCCAATCAGCTCATTTAGGCTGAGGCTACATCCACATGACTCAAAACAAAACAAAAAAAAAACAAAACCCTTTTTCTCTTATCCTGTTGTCTGCTGAAAACAGAAATGTCAAGTTTTGATAATTATTTTGAAAATTGCCCATATTAAGCTTTTTCTAACTTTTGATCTGTTCATGAAAGTCATGCATGAGAATCCTTGCCCAGTAATCCCCTAACAATTAGGGCTGGAACAAAGAGAAAAATGGAATGGAATGAAAAGTGGATTTAGCCAAAAAGCATTAGCGCTAACAGATAAACAGTACCAAACTGACAGATTGCTATTTCACTCCTTTCTCAAGTCAAATGTTATCAGAATTTATACCTGCATTAAAAATGAAGCCAACATTAGCTGTTAGGTTAACTGTACCATAGAGATGTAATGATACATTATGAATTGATGCCAATGGATTTGCATCAATGTAATTCATTGGAAGGTGTAGCAGCCTAGATAAGATTGCGTGCTAGCTGACACTGTGGCTGGCTATGGCCGCTGCTCTACTAAGGCCAGAAGTCCAACGCAATACTCATGAAGTCAACACACTGGTAAAAAAGTGATAAAATTGTCTTGAACGAAGAAAACAAATCATATTGCAAATCATGTTGTTAATCAAATGTATCATTACATCTCTATTGTACTGTTATAAGTTTCTCACATTGGGTGTATTTAACATTACATAAGCCTTTTGCAGCTGAATAGTAGTACATGGAACCTCCTGACAATGGCCTGACCTTAAAGGCATTTACATTTGGATGTTGGACAGTGAAAGGTTAGGATTAGCAAGCTGTCAGTGTTTTGTTTTTTTTTTGGTAGGCCAAAAACATTGTCACCTCAGGTGGTGGTGTCCCACAGAGGTTGTCTCTTTGTCTCACAGGGGTCTAAAGTTCTCGTCTTTCACCTTCCTCTCTAAAGCCCAAACTAACAAGTAGTTGTATGTCTCTGGTCTTTGGTCTCTGATGACTGTGGGTGTCTGCTGATCATTAGCTAGTCAGGGGCATCTTTTTTAGTCTACATGCTGATTTGGCTCTGGGCCCAAACATTTAATGTAACATCATTTACTTTTAAAATGCAGCTTGTGATTGGAATTTGGAAGAAGAAATAAAGTATGTATGAATATGTGAATGGCAGAAACCATAGAGTGAAAAGCAAGACAACAAAAGTGCTCCACACTGTGGCCACACTACAGACCGTTACTGACTTCCAGCACCTATGATTAAGGCAGCGAACAACTGTGCAAAGATATTTAGACCTTTAGCTGACTACCTGTTGTCAATAGCTGGAACAGTGGGTGAGAAGATAGAGCTAGGGGGGGACACGTAGCTTTGTCCACACAACCCCTGTGAAAAAAAAGGATCTATAAACCAGGCAGTGAGTAGAATCTTCTCATTCACCGTCATATGAGAGATGACTATACACTGCTCCGTCAGGTGATGACGTGTTTGGTTTTTATGGTCCGTTGTGGCTGAATTTGTGTTTCTTCTTCCTGTGAGACCGTTGCTTTCTGCTCCTCTCTCCTCCTCTCTCCTCTCCTGCTGTGTGGGAGGTGATGAATCACTGCACATGACTCATCCCCTCTGCTGCTCCTGCATCACAATTTCACCAGTGATGCAAATTCTTCAACAGCACCTCACTCACAGAGAAGCATTTTCTTATTCTGCCCACACACACACACACACACACTTGTCTCAGTTTTGTGTAGGTCACACTTATCCTATCTATCATTGATGTTTACGGTCCTGTAGTTGAGGTGTGAAACTCAGTGTGTGACCCAGTGAGTAGATCCTAAAGGAGGTGCTGGTAGATCGTAAACAATTAAAACAGGAGAAAATTAAAAACTATTTAAATATAATTATATAGGATGGCTCGATAGAACTTTGGAATGTCCGATACCTATACTATAACTTGGAGAATAGTGTCACTAGTCATGTTGCACAAAGTAAAGTAAAGTAGGTATCGGATCGGAGGCACTATAGTTGGGTTTTGTTTTTCAATTCTAAAATTTTTACCAATATTGGAAAAATACAGATCCTGAGTAGTGTGTAGTGCTAATAATATACTATAATATTTAAATTATACTGTGCATGTAGTTTGTAGTACATATATACAGTGGAACCTTCGTTTTTTAACCTTATTTGTTCCTGAAGGCCGTTCGTAAAACGACATTTTCAAACTAGTACTTTAGTACTTTAGCCTGGTCGGTTAGACAGTAGCCCCCAAGCCAATAAAGTGTGGACACCCCAAATCAAAAAACACTCTACGTTTTTAGAGATTGCTCATATTAGCAAGCAGATATCTACAGTAAAAGTCTAGAAATAGCTCATGTTCTAAAATGATGTCTCTGTAGAACTGACTGTAGTTCAGTTTCCTTTCATAGTTTTCTCTTAGTCCCAGTTTTAGATGCATCAATGTTTCTACCTGTCCCTAAAACTTCAACTCTCCCAACTCTAACAGGCCTTTAACTCTGAGACAGACAACTTCAAGCTAATGTACGGAGGCCACCAGTACCACTCCAGTTGTGCAAACTTCTGGATCAACTGTGTGGAGCCCAAACCTCCAGGACTCATCCTGCCCGACCTGCTGTGAGCTGCTGCTGCTGCCATGGCCAGAAACAACAAACCATCTTTTAGTTTTAGCTGTCACGTATCAAGTTTTCAACCCATAGTCTTTCCTTATCTAGTTTTAAGACTGAGTCATTTCAAAAAACAAGATGCTACTTACTTAAAAAACAAAACATTATTCTGTTAAAATGCTGCTGTTGTTTTAGGTTTAGGTTAAAAAAAAAATCGACCTGTATGTTCTTCTTTTCCTAACACACCCAGTATCAGACAGATTATCAGATAATAGTTGAAAAAAAATGTATTTGAACTGAAAATGTGAACTTGAAAGTTAAACTTCAGTTAAGTTTTAGCACAGCGTGACCTTTAACCTATTTACTGGACAATCTATAAACAACTGATATTTAATGAATTGTTTTCAACTCAACAATGAGGCCTCTACTTTCAGACAGATCTGTGATGATTGACCGGTTTTATCGTTGTTACTGCAGTAATGATGCTTAAACACTGCAGTAGTTGTGACTCTTAGATGATCTGTGCATCTATGTTTGTACATCACTGGATGTGTGAAGCTGTAAACACTCTTCTTTGCCTCCCTTAGCCCAATGTTTTATTTTATTTAATTTTCAAATTCTGCCGAAGTGAAATCCTTGGATCTGAAGTCAGTTATTATTCTTTAGAGTTGCTCAGTTGGTCACTCTTTAGCCAATCTTGTGGTTTTGTTTTCTTTATGTGTTGACAGTTGCACTGGGGAAAAGGGGATCAGACATTATTTAAAAAACTTGTTTGTTTTGTGAAAAAAAAAAATTTGTGTGAAAATAAAAATTGAACATGTTGAAAAGTTACCGGTAACTATGATATTGTTTTAACTTTACGTCACTACAGCATATCCATATCATTGAAACTGGTATTCACTTTCATTAACTGAGACCCCTTTTATTAAAGATAGTAGCTTTAATTTAGCTTTGTGTTCCACCCATAGAGACCAAAGTCCAACAAACACATTTTTTTGTTGAATTTTTGTATTAAAGCACTAACACAGTTCTACAAGCATTTTCCTCAGGATTTGCCAGTCCATCTTCAGGCTCCCAAGGTCCACTCAAGGTAAGGAACCGCAGTTCTTTTCATCGTTTCAACAGTGACAAATACCACGTTGTCCTGCTCTGTTCAGACATGTTATGTAATAAAGAAGCAAAGGTGAACAGCAAAGAATATATTTCTTGAAATGTTTATTTCCATTGTTGTAGACAATGGTACATTTCAACCCTCTGATCTTATTTACAATGGAGGGGACACAGAAACATGACGTTCAACGCTTACAGTTTGTCACATCAGAATGTGGTTCTACTTTTCATCAATATAAACCATGAAGCCAAACAGTCGTATCACAATCCTTGCAGGTTCTGTTGATAAAAATCCAAACCACTGGTTATAGGTTTCCTGCAGTACTGCAGAAAACTTGTTTCCAGCAGTTTTGTTTTTACCACTGAGCGTCCAGTGCCGTACAGTCGACAATTATTTTTTAATACATAATCAAATAGCACAGAACAGTCTTTTGTAATACACGCAGAATTAACCCTTCACCTTCTCATTAAACAGCAGGTATATTAGTATCTTTAAAATTACCCGAGTCTCGACTGCTGCCACGTCACTGTCAAACATTTGTTTTTTTTTTCTGTACACAGTTTAATGCTACCATTAGGTCAGATCATGCTGCTGCCCTCACACCACAGAAGAAACAGACAGACCACGGCATCCACATCAGACACAGGTACGACTGTCTGCTTTTTATCAACACTTACTGTGGACAGACACTCAGAAAATCAATTCTTGTTCATATTGACAGTCTTACCACCGCACACACAGAAACACGCACGCAAACAAATAATGTCCCGATGACATTTCCATCTTGCTTTTTTTTCTGAATGGCCTCTGCCTGTTCTTCAAGCAGCAGCAGGCAGTGGAGAAGTCAGTCAGTCAATCAGTCAGACAGCCAATTTGTGAGCCAAACAGACAGACAACCAGTCGGTCAGTCAGCTCAGCCATAAATAACTTGACACCAAGGCGTTAACAGAAGGTCTTCCGTACTGTAGTTCTGTAGATGAATCTGGATTAATATGGATTAACTGAGATGGTTCTTAAATGTTAAAGAATTTCTGTAGTTCACTGGAAAAACAGCAGTTATACCTATATGGTTAACACCTGTTTTTATTTGTGACTAATTATTCATTTCATTCCTTTAATTATTAATATGTAAAAATGCCAATCAATATATAACTCAACTCACTTTTGCTTCAAAGAGTAGGTTAACACTGGTCATCACGTCGAGCTACTGTCAAAACTTTTGTTTGTTTTGAACAATGTTATTCACTCAGCACTCTGCTGCAGTCTGTTTGACAACTGTGACTGCCGTAGACCTACTGACTGCCCTGTGCTCATAGGGGCTGGTCTGGCTAAAACCTGGCATCTGACCTGGAGTTGAAGCCTCAGCGAATGCATGCTGGGTGTTGAGATTGGATTTTTAAGCTCCAGGTACTGGGCTGTTTATAAATAACAACATGGATAATCTTGTGATATATCTGATCCCTCCAACAGGTGGAGCCTTTTCATTCTGAGAGTCAGTATCTCAAGTAAGGACCTACAGACCTTCACCTAAATGTGAGCATCAATCAATTTCTCCTACTAAGTGTTGTCTGTTTATATGTTATATGTATTCAGTGTTGAATTTGACATGGATGAAATGCACCTGGTTTCTACCAACATTTTCCCTGGGACCAGCTACAAGTGAATAATTTAGGAACTTACTTTTTAGTACTCGTCCACTGGTGTGACTGGTTCATCTGTATTTTGTGTACAAGCTAAATGTAGTCTTTACACCTGTGTCTAACTGATGGACATCTTATACAGTAGCAACTGTAATTTATCATTATGTAAAGGAGCATAATGATACGGTTTTGACTAAATATTGAACTGATTCTGATTAAGTACAAGTTCTGAATAACTTCTCTAATTCTAACTTGGACATCCTTTAGTCCAAAGGACTGTGGTCTTGTGGTCGTGTCCTCTTTAGTGTTCAGTAGGAGCAGTTCCCTCATCCATCATCGGCCCGTGTTTGGAATTTACTCCCTCCAGTATTTGTTTAATAATCTATTCCTATATCTCCGCTCAAAAACAGAAACTGTCTAGAACGAGCACAGGACTCATGCCCAGATGTTAGTAGATCATCTTTTATAGGCCCCAGTAAGGAGCCAGATTCCTGCGGTCCTTCTCATACACATCGGGTATGATGCCATATGGTGTCTGCACCATTCGAACAGAGGTTCTACCAAAAAGCTTTCTCTCATAGTCAATGAGCTGGCGCCAGAAGCCACTGTTGGGTCTGATGACCGGCCGACGGGATTTGACCCAGGAGTGAGCCTCGGCCAAAGACACGCGGTGGTATTTCATGAGGTACGCTAAGCACAGGGAGGCTGATCTGCTCACACCAGCCGCGCAGTGCACCAGCACGGCCCCTCTTTTACGGCCCACACTATGGATCTTATCGGCCACGCTGTCGAAGTACAGGGAGATCGGGGAGTGGGGCATGTCTGCCAACGGGACCTTCATGTACTCCATGTGAGGCCAGTTGAAGTTTGGGAGCTCGATGGTGGCGTTGACGACACAGGTGATTCCTTTGGACAGCAGCAGGCTGCGGTTTGAGGCAACATTTCCTCTGCTGAGGAAGAGGCTGGGTGTAATTTGAGCAATGCCCCCCAGCAGGCTGCCATTCTCAGGTAGAAGCCTTGGTACTGAGGTGGGTACCATGGAGCTACGCTGGTGGTGGAGACTGTGGTGGTGGTGGTGGAGGAAGCTTTGGCTGCGGGACCCCATCAATAGATCATGTAGGCATCAGGAAGGACATGAAATGAATCAGCAGCTTAGAGTCATCAGAGTGAAAAGGAACCAGGCTGCAGCACTGAAAAAAAAAACAGACAGAGAAAGATTGTAACCATGTGGTAATTGGTTCTTTGGTTTGGAAATCAACTATTGTGTTAACATTGCGAAGCAATTCTTTTTTTAATAATTTCATTTGAATTTGAATTTAAATGTTTCTAGCAAGTTCAAATCTCTAATATCTTCTCTAAATTTAACAACCTAAATATTCAAAATGTTATTATTAATTTTTTTTTTACAATTAAAGGGTTTGCTCCAATTGCCTTTTTCTTCAGACAGTCTTTACAGCCACATTATGTACTGCAGTCACATGACTCGACCTATTTGTAAAACATAAACATCCACAGTCTGACTTCACAATTATAGAACAACAAAGATCAACTAGGCATTCTAAAGACTTTCATTCCATGTGTGTCTCTACAGTGCATTCAAATGAAACAGCTTGCGTGTTAAACACTTGGTGTCATGGCAGCTCCGACCCCCTGCAGGCAAATGCTCACCTCCTCTCATGTTCGTCCTCCCACACTAACATTACATCTCTGCTGTTTTTAATGTCTCTGCACATGACACCAAATAACGAGAAGAGAGGAAAACACTTTGTGTTGTGCAAATAGTTTTTTGTACTTAGTTAATGTCTGAATATTTTTTCCCAGTTTATCAATGAGTAATTAACAATTAAGTAATCAGTAATTAAATTGTCCGAACCTCTGTTTGTCATAGTTGGAATTAGATGGTGGAAGGGCGGTGAGTGTCTTGGAGCAAGAAGATCACTGGTTAAAAGTACACCATACGTAAGAGTGAATGTGATTGGTTGTCCTGTCTCTGTATGTGGCCCTTTGATGGACTGGTGGACTCTCTTAGCCCCGAGCAGAAACAGCTGGGATTGGCTCCAGCTCTTTATCAGATTTATGTAAGGTACAAGATGTTGTTGCTGTTGAAAAACTGTGCTACTGATAGACTGATTACTGGTGTTAAAATGTTAATGTTGAAAGAGTCTTAATAATTTTATAACCTATTACTGCTACACCATTGCTGACGTTGATGCCACACCTGGCAGTGGGGCTTCACAGTCTGAGATTACAGCCTGCAGCTTACTAACACTCTCACTAATGCACTTTATGGCGCTGTCACAAGTGATGAAAGAGATTTGTAGAAGCTCCAACTCTGGGTTTGATGTGTCTTCCAGCATTCTTATGTGCTGTCTTTCACTCGTTGGTTAGTGATGTTGTTGATGATTTCAGGGTAGAGCTGGCAGCATGGCGATCCCTGACATATTACATTTAAAAGACCAGGACCAGTCAGACTGGCCCAGAGGCTGCCTCTAGTTTCTCTCACACAGACTAGTACAGACTTGTCAACTCGTCGACTTTACTGCTCTACAGTGGAGGTTTTGGCAACAGAAAGACAGGAGGCACAGCTGCGTACAGTAACTTTACAGCGCAGAATGACCCTGAAGACCGAGGGTCCGGTGACCACCATTGTGTCCTTGATTGTTTGTCCCGATCCTGATACCAGTCTTGGTGCGTCCCTACCTTTAGCTTTAACAGGTCACCAATCTAGTTTTCACAAACAGACTTTGTCTTTGTCTTTGATTAACTCTAATTATGAAACACAATATTTTAAAAAAATGATATTGAAACATTTGTTGAACAACTGAGCAGTTGTCGAGGACCATTCTGTGCCTGACATGTTTACTCAAGGAGACAGCAGAGATACAGCAGTAGCTGTTGCTGTGGCAACCTGCTGCTGACCGTCAGCTTAAGTCAGCTGCAGACACACTGGCAGAGAAATAATGCCAATACTGGATCCAAATAATCCCCGTTTGTAGCCAAAGTGGTGACGTACCAGAGCATTGTTGTTATTTATAACTCAAGCTGGACAGGGATGAGGCTGCAGAGAGTGGAGGTAGATAATCAGCCGGAAGAGAAGCTGCTGTTATAGTCACTGAGGTTTCATTGTGAATCAACATGTAAAATATGAAAGGAGACACTGGCCAAGGAATTACTGTTCATCACCATCAGTCCACATGTTTGAAGCGTTTCCCGTACGGTGGGACATAGTTATTTCTTCAGAGGGTATAGTGGTACAGTGTGGCACATTTTCCCAAAATATTTTTCAGACTATTAATAAATCTGTAGTACCATCATAGTAAACACACTTGTTTTCGCTTCAGTTTTGTTTAATTTTTCTATTTTTTAAAAAAGCCCTCTTAGTTAGGATTTTCAAGTGCACAATTTAAATTATTTTCACTTTGCCTCGTCTTATCTTTAACACTAACGCTCAGTTACACTGCGGTAAATGCAATCCTTTTCATCCTCCTGTTATTTTCAGCTTATCTGCAACAGGTGTTCCCACCTTACAAGCAAACTTGCATGTCTTCCTCTCTCCCTCCGCTAAGAGATTCCTCAGGGTTCCAGTTACACCAATGCTAACGCAAATTGGAAACCTGACCTACCTTCAGGATAATTAGAGTAGCATGTCTTGATAGTCAAAGCTCTTAGGCGGACATCAGCTCACTGCTCACTACACACATGGTTAATGACAAATTCCTCAGTGACTCTCTCGTGGAAGGACTAGAGAATATACTGTACTGGAATGGCTGGGATAGAGTTGAGATGAAGTTATAATAATTTCCAAGTAGTCATCAATAAGGCCAAGAAGTTAATTGAATTTTGTATCTAGCTATATTGTCCAGTGGTCAGTATGTTATGCACGAGTGCATTTCCGGCAGTTAAGAAGGCTTCAGTCCTGTGTGTGGAGGAGTAGGAGGAGACGTTAGCTGCAGCACTTAGTCAGCGGGAAAAGTAAAGTAAATTTACCGCTGTGGGAACGTGGATCTAAAATCACAGACATCAAATACATGTAATGTGCAAGCTCGCTGGTGTCTGCACCATTTGGCAGCATGACACGTCTCCACCACCGTCATATATTTCTCAGCACCTCCTAACTTTACAACAGAGCATCAAAATTGTCACATTGGTCACCCACTGCTTCCAACTAACAGTGCAGAGCCCTGCTTCTTCATAGTATGTTCTGTACCAGAACTCTCACAGCTGAAATATTAACTGTACAATTTTACTTGTGTAGGTCTAAACTGTTGTTGGTGGAAGTTCACCTCTTACCATTGCACACATTTTCCAATGCCCCTAGTTCTTTAAAAAAACATAGAGTATCAGAATATTCCTGCTCTTTTCAATTAAATAATTATTATCATGTTTTTGTTAATTTTATTATCATCGACAGGATGTCGAAATTGGAGAAAGCTATTTTCTCTGCAGGCTACGGTTGCAAAAAAGCTCTATAAAAAGACTGGAAGTGCTGTCCTTGTTTCCAAGGTAACTCTGTTTGAATATAAGCTTACAGATAGGGAGGCTTCTGTGCATTTTTACTCGATATATCGTAGCTATAACAACAATTAATGTTTTCCTGACAAATCCCTGGTATGCTTTGATAATTTTGTGGTCCTGTCTGTAAGTCGTGTATAATATATAATCAATGTTGTAAATTAAAAAAAAAAACGAGAGAATTTACAACAAGTATTTTCTTAACTAAAAATATTACTACCGGCATTGCGGTCTACGTAAAACTATGACAAGTTGTTTTATAGACGTCAAAGATGACAATCATATTTATTCCCTCCATCCCACGTGACCCTTCGCTCGGTAACTGAGATACAGTCCCTAGTAAAACACACCTATTTCAGGAAATTAAAGAGAAATGTTGCGTTTTTAAAATGATGTACTTTGCGTCTATTTAAAAAACGACGGTGAGTCCAGTCGCTTATATTAAACGACCTCGTGAGTTTATTTATTTTGGACAAAAACAATTTTCACATTATTAAAAACCGACATCTTAGTAACGTCTAATGTGGACGTACATGTAGCGCATCAGGTGCGTTAAACTCGGGGTTCTTTACAAAAGTGACGCTCATACCAACCGTAGAAAATAAACATCAAAAGTTATCAACGCTTCAAGTTCAATTGGATTATAATCCAACTTATTATGACAATAAGCTGAACTTAACCAGAGGACTCACCCTCTTATTCACACCGCCGTCAGCGCAGTGGTGGGCGGCCACAGATTCGCTGCTCAAAGCTACCGTCAACATCCACCTACGGTCCGGTTAGTCAGTCAGTGCAGACGGCTAGGAGGAAGAATAAAGGTCGAGAGGAGACGGGCGGACCACAGAGCTCAACGACATCACGGCAAATGCAATAAGAAAAAGGAGCAATGGATGACTTCGTCCAGCTGCGTGTGAGAGCGATGATGTGTGCATAGTGTATGAGAGGCGATCAGTGTCGAACAGGCGAGGAGGGGAGAGGGGGAGAGAGGGAGAGGGGAGAGAGGAGGGGGGGGGGGGGGAGAGAGGAGGGGGGGGGGGGGGGAGGGGGGGGGAGGGGGGAGGGGGAGAGAGGGAGAGGGGAGAGAGGAGGGGGGGGGGGGGGGAGAGGGGAGAGAGGAGGGGGGGGGGGGGGAGGGGGGGGGAGGGGGGGGGAGGGGGGGGGGGGGGAGGGGGGGGGAGGGGGGGGGGGGGGAGGGGGGGGGAGGGGGGGGGAGGGGGGGGGGGGGGGAGGGGGGGGGAGGGGGGGGGAGGGGGGGGGAGGGGGGGGGAGGGGGGGAGAGAGGGAGGGGGGAGAGAGGGGGAGAGAGGGAGGGGGGAGAGAGGGGGAGAGAGGGAGAGGGGAGAGAGGAGGGCGGGGACAGTGATCAGGAAACATGTTCTAGGTTTTTATTGAACGATGACTCTTGCGTCCACCATGCAGTACTGTACACGGTAGAAATATTCTAACGACAGGCAGCTGCTGTCATATGTGCTCTGAGAATGGCACTGCAGTGACATTGTGAAAGTGAATCATTTGTCATTGTGACACTGCACACCACTGCACACACAACAAAACGTGACCTCTGCTTTTTACCCATCACCAAAGTGGACAGGGGGCAACTTTAAGTGCTTATTGTAAACAAAGGCACCATCAGTGAACACCAGCTGCTCCCAAGGGATGTTTACTCGGCTCACTGACTATACTCCAGAGTTCACGTCCAACATTAACGTTGTTTGCTGTTGACAACACGAAATAATTCACATATACTATTATTAACATACATATATGTCAAAATAATTTACAATTCCAGGTCCATAAAAAAGTGTTATTTTACACCAGATCCGCCTCCTGCCATTCTCCTGTTAGCCTAATGGCACGTGGTCCACGACAGTGGGTCGAACATTGTATAAGCTAAAGATGGCTCTGTGAGAGAATGTGACAGTAGAGGTAGCTGTTCTCTGGTGAGTCACGACTCCTCTGCCCGGCAGATGAACACGAGCAACAGCAGCGTCTGTGTGTGTGCGCGTGTGTGTGTATGTGTTGAGCTGCCTTCTATCTCATTTCTACTATGACACAAATCTGGTAGTCAAGGTAACATCCTGTGTGTAAGAGTTCACCTGTGTAATGACTGCAGAGCAGAAACAATGGTGAACACATTATGAATACTAGGGTACTACTACTACTACTACTCCTTTTGCATTTTAATGTTTTTGCATTTTTTTGGTGATAGGAAGACTATAGTCTTGCATGTTTTAGGTCAGGGGTCGGCAACCATAACCACTCAAAGAGCCATTTGGACCTTTTCACACAGAAAAGAAAACAATGGGAGATACAACATCCTTTGGACATTTAATGGATACATGACACCATCTATAAACAAACTATGACATCAACCAACAACCAACTGGATATGGACATTTATGTTCCTTACATTTCTGGTAAACATTACAAAAGAGACATTGTGGTCTACCCCTGGAGTTAAAGGGAACCCACAGACAGACGGACAGACAGACACACACACACACACTCTGTATTTTCCACAGCCACAGGGAGCCACAGCACAAGAATCAAAGAACCACATGTGGCTCCAGAGCCGCAGGTTGCCAACCTGTGGTATAGTATTTTACTGTGATCAAAAGTTAGTGTACCAAAAAAGTATATTTTTTCTGAATTTTAACTGCAGAAATGGGAAGAGCTAAGTATTTTAAGCCAAATGAGTGAATTTTTAGTCATTTTTGAGAAACTTTTATTTTCGGAGATTTGTTCAGGAACTTATTGGTATAGTATTTTACTGTGACCAAAAAGTGACGTACCAAAAAATATATTTTTTCTGAATTTTAACAGCAGAAATGGACATAGCTAAGTATTTTAAGCTAAATGAGTGTATTTTTAGTCATTTTTGAGAAACTTTTATTTTCTGAGATTTGTTCAGTAACTTATTGGTATAGTACTTTGCTGTGATCCAAAGATGACATACTAAAAAATTATAATTTTTCTGAATTTTAACCACAGACATGGAGATAGCTAAGTATTTTAAGGCAAATTAGTGTATTTTTAGTCATTTTTGAGAAACTTTTATTTTCTGAGATTTGTTCAGTAACTTATTGGTATAGTACCTTGCTGTGATCCAAAGATGATGTACTAAAAAGCTATAATTTAAACTATAATTTAAATTATAGTTTTAATTTAATTTAAATTATAGTTTTAATTAAAACTATAATTTAAAGATGACGTACTAAAAAGTATATTTCTTCTGAATTTTAACAGCAGAAATGGACATAGCTAAGTATTTTAGGACAAATGGGTGTATTTTTAGTCATTTTTGAGAAACTTTTATTTTCTGAGATTTGTTCAGGAACTTATTGTTATAGTATTTTGCTGTGATCAACAGTTAGTGTACGAAAAAAGTATATTTTTTTTAAATTTTAACAACCAAAATGGACATAGCTAAGTATTTTAGGACAAATGGGTGTATTTTTAGTCATTTTTGAGAAACTTTTATTTTCTGAGATTTGTTCAGGAACTTATTGTTATAGTATTTTGCTGTGATCAACAGTTAGTGTACGAAAAAAGTATATTTTTTTTAAATTTTAACAACCAAAATGGACATAGCTAAGTATTTTAGGACAAATGAGTGTATTTTTAGTCATTTTTGAGGAATGTATTGTTGTAGATTTGTTTTTATGAACTTATTAGTATAGTATTTTACTCATCTTTATACTTAGACAAACAAAACAAAATATTGCTTTTTTCTACAGAAACCCATCTTACTGCAAGTTGCGGAGGAGATCCTGCCTCAGGTGGAGGAGTATCTTGTGGCCTTGTTCAGGAGTGACAGAAAGGTGAATCACATACTTACAACACTACTTCTGTCAACCACATGTGTTAACACGATTCAACAGAGGTCCCATCATCAGAACAATTTAGTAAAACCTCTTCTTTTGGCCTGAAACACAAGGTGAACTTAAGACAACATTACATACAAAAAATCTTGGAGACTACACCATGTTCAATGTGTTTAGCACTAGCATGTTACCAAACACTTCAATTAACCATTTAAGCAAACCACTTGCTTTGTGCCACTACTTAGGACCCTAAAGAATTTCACTTTTAACAATTCAAGTAATAAATACAGATACTTTATTTAGACAAAGTCCTCACCCTGATGTCTCCATCTTCTCCTTCTCTTCTGCAAATACAAATAAAGTAAATGTAATAACACTACTACTTGTTCTGGCTGTAGTTAATCTCGTCTGTACTGGATTTGTCCAGTTGATGTCACTCAGCCTTACCTTCACAAAAAACATGCCTTACCACCGTGGAAAAATCCATAA